CGGCTGAGCGTACTTGGGCAGCGTGCGCTGCACGTGGGCGCCGAGCGCCGCAAAGTCGACCTGCTGGCCCGACGAGAGCGGGATGGCGGCGCACCCGGCGCGGCCCTCGTGCGAGGGGACTGCGTTGCCGAGGAGAGGTGGGGAGGGACGGGTGAGGTCGTCGAGGAGGGAGGAGGCGAGGAAGGAGGAGAGGGGGAGAAGGGCGAGTCAGGGATGGTCGAGGGCGAGGAGAACGAGGTGAGAGAGGAGAGAGAGAGGGACGCACCGAGCACGCCGTACACGTTGGCCTCGTCGACGACCTGCCCGAGCTTCTCTGCGACGTCGGCCGTGCTCACGTTCTCGCTCTTCCACCGGAACGTGTCGCCGAGGCGGTCGGCAAAGTACCAGTGCCCGTCGCCGTCGCGCCGCAAGAGGTCGCCCGTGCGGAAGTACGTGTCGCCCCGGGCGAGGACTGACCGCAGGATCTTCTTGTCGGTCGCCGACGGGTTGTTGTGGTACCCGGCAAACGCTTGGTACGGCGACGAGTTGTCGATCTGGATCACGAGCTCGCCCGGCTCGTTGACGTTGGCCTGCGCACATCATCGACGACAAAGTGTGAGCTCCACGTTCCTCTAGCTCGCCGAGGAGAGAGGGAAGGAGAGAGAGAGAGAGCAGCGACGCACCCGAATCGCGAGGCCGTCCTTGCCGCGCGCCGGCTCCTCGGTGAGCGGGTCGACGCGAAGCAGAACCTGCTTGTTGCGCTGGAACGAGCTGACGATGAGGCCCTCCTTGCCGACGGCGCCGGCGCCGAGCGAGTTGCCGTTGCGGTTGAAGAGCGAGCCGTTGCCTGCGAGCGAGCGAGGGCCGTGGTCAGGTCGACGGTCGACGAGCTCGACTCGAGGATACGAGACGAGAGAGGGGGGGAGAGAGAGAGCGAGGACACACCCTCGGACGAAGCGAAGAACTCGGAGATGGTCTGCACGCCGAACCGCTCACGGAACTTCTCCCACACGTCTGCGAGCGCTCGGGTCGTCGGGTCAGGACCGCAGGTACCGAGAGAATGACGAGAAAAAGGAGGAGGGAGGGAGGACGCACCGGGCCTGCACCCGTTGCCGTACGCCAGGCGGACCTCGTGCCGCTTGTCGTCCGGGCTCGGCGGGCGAGCAAGGAGGTACCGTAGGACTGCAGGCGCGCTCGATACATCAGTCGTTTTCCCTGGCAATTCCCGAGCGCACGCTCGAGGAGCGACGGCGCAAGCCGAAGCGCGACGAGCGAGAGGAGGTGAGAGGAGAAATCGGGACGCACCCTCGCCGACATACTGCACGACGTTGGCCCTGCTCTCGCGCACGTCCCTCCAGAAGGTCGTCGCCGAGAACTTGCGGCCGATGACGACGGTCGCGCGCGCGTTCCACGCGACGCCGACGGCGAGGATGGCGGCCGTCGAGTGGTACTGCGCGCGCGCGCGAGGACGTGATTAGCTTCGCTTTGGAGGACCGACGAGGTAGAGGAAGAAGGAGAAAGTCGAGAGACGCACGAGCGGCATGGGCGTGTAGATGCGCGTGTTCTTGCCGAACGAGTTGAGCGTCGTCCAGACCTGCGAGGGCGAGGGTTCGTCAGTATGCGAGGATGAGAGGGAGGACGAGGGCGCGAGCGCACCTGGAACGCAGTTGCGCAGCGACCGTGGAGCGTGAGGGCGGCCTTGGGCAGGCCGGTCGTCCTGTGTCGGGTAGGAGAGAGTCAGTGCGGGCCCGATACGATGCGCACAGAAGAGGCTCGAGGCTGCTCGCTGCAGCTCAAGGCTCCTCGACAGACACGGCGAGGACAGGCGGACGCACCCAGACGTGTAGATGAGGCAGCACGGGCTGCTCCACTTGATGCCGTTGCGGCGCTCGTCCGGGATGCGCTCGCTGCTCATCTGGGCGAGCACCGCCTCGTCGAGCACCTGCTCGCCCTCGACGCCCTTCTCACCGGCCGCTGTCTTGCTGAACACGTCGACCCACCGCACGAGCTTGGCCGAGCGGTCGAGCGAGGGCGCGACGTCGACGATGGCGGACGCGAGGTCCGACTCGAACAGGACGAGCTTGGGGGCGGCGACCGAGATGCAGTGCGCGAGGCCTTGGCCCGTCAGGTTGTAATTGATGAAGGCCGGGACGCTGTGTGCGGCTGGGACGTGAGCTGGTGCGGCATTGAGAGAGGGTGAGAGAGCGAGGACGCGGGGACGCACACGTCGATGGCGAGGCAGGCGAGCCAGATGATCGGGTATGCGGGCTTGTTCGGGAGGTACAGGGCGATCGTGTCGCCGCGCTGCAGACCCTGGGCGAGGAGGTAGTGCGCGAGGCGGTTGACGGCTGCGTCGGGCGGTGCGCACGCGCAAGTGGGGGAGGGGGGAGGGGAAGGGAGGTCAGTGCTCGCTCGCCTGCTCTGGGGTGCGGGTCGAGGGGCAGGACCGCGGGTAGGAGGTGGTGGTAGGGGACGCACCGAGCTGAGTCTGGGTCCAGCTGAGGGTGACGCCCTCGCAGACGTAGCAGTCGGCGTCGGTGCGGTTGCGGGCGGCGTCCTCGAAGACGTAGTAGATCGAGTTGCGGTCCCTGCGGTCGTTGACCTTGAGGCCGATGCGGGCCTTGACCATGCCCCTCGCGAGGCGCAGGTCGTCGGCGACGCGGTACTTGGCGTCGAGGTAGGCGACGGCGTGAGCTGCGGCGAGGGCTGTGGCGGCCATGGCGGGCGGGCGGTGGGCTGGAGCTGGTCGAAGCAGAGGGGTCGGTCCTCGCAGAGCAAGAGCAGAGGTGCTGGTCGACGACGAGGAGAGCAAGAGAGAGAGTCGAGGGCGAGGTCGCCGTGCACCGCCTTGACCTCGCTCGCCGGATTTTCTCGAGGAGGATCCGGTGTGATGCTCTGTACATTGCAAGCCCTTACGTGGCACTCAGTCGCTCACAGGAGGTGCGGCGAGGAGGTGCATGTAGCGAGGGTTCCGTCCGGCGCCGAGAGAGACGAGCGCGCCCACCTTGGGCCTCAGCTCGTCACCACCACCTGTGCGCCAGTGCTCTACAGCCGCACCCACACCCACACACCCGACTCGCACCACGCACCCCGACCAGCGCACCCTCGACGCGCCTCGCACCCTCGCCTCGCCCCCCTCGCGAGCGCCTCCCCCTCTCGCCCGACCCTCGAGCGAGATGAGCGGCTACGACTCGGCGGGCACCACAGCCGGCCCTGCCACCAAGCGCCGACGCGCCAACAACCTCGACCCCGACTTTTACCCGGGCACGGCCCCGACCACGAGCAGGACAAAGGCCGTCTACAAGGCTCAGCAGGAGGCGCAGGCTCGCCTCGCCGCCCAGCAGCAGCAGCAGCAGCTCCAGCAGCAGCAGCAGTACCATCACGAGGGCCCTGTCCCTAGACAACCCATCGTGCGTCCCACCCCTCCCTCCCTCCCTCGCGCGAACCCTGTCCCCTGACGAGCTCTCCTCCTTCCTCCTCCCCACGCCTCGGACCCCGCACTCAGCTCTCGCTCGCGTCTCTCCCGCCAGATGCCATCCAACGGTACCTCTCTCGATGTGCGTCCACCTCGCACGGCACTCCCACCCCGAACCCGCTCACCTCGCCCTCTTTCCCCCACACAGACGGCCTCCTCGAACCGCAAGGCTCGCTGTCGTACCACCACGCCGTCTTCCCCGTCCCGGCCCTCCCTCGCGACCTTCACCCTCCGCTAGACGGCCGCCAACTCGCCATCCGCCGCGCCCGCACCACCTACGTCCCAGCCGCACGCAACGCCCGCCTTAACCCGACCGACCCTCCCCCTCCTCCTCCTCCTTCGACCGCCAATCCGGACCAGCAGCCGCCCCTCGCGCCCGCCCCCAACCTCGCTACCTCGACAACGCCTGCGCAGGGCGCAGCGGCGGGCTCCAAACGGGCCTGGGTCGAGCCGCGCACGGCCGAGTTTGCCGGCTTGAGCGCGTTCGACGACCCGCACCGCGTCACCGAGCGGCTCGCGATGCGCGCGACGCAGCACTGGGACAAGCGCGACTCGATCAAGGAGGCAGAGACGTTGACCAACTTTATGTTCTCGGTGCGGCAGCGAGGGAGGACGTTGAGGGCGACGCCGGCCGGTTGAGCGAGGCGCGAGTGAGGGTGGGTCGTCGCAGGTGGTGGGTTCCTCGCCCTTGTTGTGTCTGTCGTGCATTTGCAGCTCGTGTCTTTCGTGCGAGCGTGCGTGCGTCCCCTCTGGCGAGCTGCGGTGAGAGGATGCGGGCCATCGACAAGGCCGTCGTCCTCGCTCTCCCACCAACCCACCACCCCTCGTCGTGAGCACGCCCGATAGCCTGCGAGACGGCGGATCAAGCTCACACACACTTCTACAGTCCATCTACATCCGACCATGGCTGCTTCTGAAGGCTCTCTCGTGCGTCGTCGCCTCGTCGTCCCCCATCTCCCCGTCCGCCTCCTGACCCTCGCTCGCTCGCCACCCACAGCTCGTTCTCGTCAGGTCCGTCCTGCTCGCCGACCGCACAGCACACAATGCGCACTCTGACCCTCCTGCCCCTCATCGTCGTCTCTCTCTCACAGGCACGGTCCGTCCTCTCTCTCCTCGCCCTTCCGTCATCTCCCGCGAGGACTGTATTCTGACCCTCGTCGTGCCCGGGCCCTGCAGGCGAGTCCGAGTGGAACAAGGTGCGCTCTGCCATGTCCTCTGTCGGTCACACGGCGCAAGCTGACCTCTCGTCCTCCCCGCCGGCAGCTCAACCTCTTCACCGGGTGCGCCCACCTCTCTCTCTCTCTGTGTGCCCCGCTCGTCGAGCCTCGACTGACCTCGCCATCTCTCCACGCAGCTGGAAGAACCCGGCCCTGACCGAGAAGGGTCGCGGCGAGGCCCTCACGGGCGCCAAGAACCTCGCCGCGGCGGGCTACACCCACTTTGACGTCGCCTTTACGTCGGTCCTCCAGCGCGCCAACGACACGCTCGCCATCATCCTCAAGGAGATCGGCCAGGACGACCTCGAGACGTTCAAGGACCAGGCCCTCAACGAGCGCGACTACGGCGACCTCACCGGCCTCAACAAGGACGAGGGTCCGTCCTCTCTCTCCTCTTGTTCGCTCTCGTGGGGAGCCCTTCGACTCGAACCTCGAGACTGACTCTTCCTCGCTCGTGCAGCCCGCGTCAAGTTCGGCGAGGAGCAGGTCCACATCTGGCGCCGCTCGTACGACGTGCCCCCTCCCGGCGGCGAGTCGCTCGAGCTCACGGCCAAGCGCGTCCTCCCGTACTACGCGTCGCACATCAAGCCCCGTGTCGCCAAGGGCGAAAAGGTCCTCGTCGCCGCGCACGGCAACTCGCTCCGGTCCATGATCATGCAGCTCGAGGGCCTCTCGGGCGACGAGATTGTCAAGACGGAGCTCGAGACGGGCGTCCCCATCGTGTACAAGCTCGACAAGGACGGCAAGGTTCTCTCGAAGGACATCCTCAAGCACCAGTCGTAAACGAGCGGCGTCGTCGTCGTCGTCGTCTTGGTAGAGCAGCGCGCGCCCTCGTCGGTTTTCCCCTCCCTTCTCGTCGTGCAACTCGGGCAGTATTCTCGGCCTGTCGCGGGCTCCTCTCTTCTCGCTTGCGACTTGTGCTTCTTTCTCGCGACGACGACCAGCGACCGGTCGGCCCTTGACAATTTGTCTCGGCCGGCCGATCTTTTCGCGGAGTCGAGTCGACTCGATTTGCCCACCGGCCACCTCTCTCTCTCCCTCGTCCAGCTCGCTTTGCGCTTCTTCGCCTCTCCCCGTCACCTTCTCGCCGCACCTCGCGCGAGCTTCCCCTTTCCGCCGCTCAGGCTCTCGCTCGTCCACAGCGCCTCGGTCGCCGCCGCCGCAGCCGCGACCAGTCGCTCCTCCTCCACCTCCTGCTTGGCACCTCCTCGACCGAGTCTCAGCACCTCAGGTGCGTCCCCGTTGGTCTCTCGTCACCCTCGGGATCCCGGACTGACCCGTCTGCTCGTCGCGCAGCCATGTTCTTCCGCAAGGAGACCTCGCCTCTCTCGAGCCGCTCTGCGTGAGCGGCGACATCCTCATCGACCCGTCCTTCCCCCACCTCGACCCCTCTTCCACCTTCGACCCATCCTCTCTCGCCTGTACATACGACCCTCTCGCCCTCGATCCCGCCTCGTACAACCCGTTCGAGGTCCTCCCTCCTCTCGACCCTCTCCTCCCCGACTTCTCTTTCCTCGCCACACCGCCCGAGCCGCTCCCCGGTTCGAGCGACGCGCCTATCTCTCTCGGTACGTCGAGCTCGATCGGACATGACGCCGTCTCGAAGCCCGTCCTGACTACCCGCATTCCGCCTCGCGCAGACCCGCCCGCCGTCCCTACCTTCTCGCCCGCCGACTTGTCCTGTTTCTTCCCGGCGCCTTCCTTTCTCGCTCCGCCTACGCCCATCGACTGGCACCTCGGTGACCTGGCCGTCGCCCCGTCGACGTCCTCGTCGTCCCCGCCGTCCCTCGTCTCGCCAAACTCGACCACCTCGACCTCGTCGCACCTTTCCCCGTCTTCCGCCCCGCCGTCCTTGACCGCCACCCCGGCCTCGTCGACCTCGTCGCGACCCCTCGCGTCGACGACGGCGACTCGCGCGAGTACCGCCGCGCCCGTCGACCTCGAGGCGCCGATCCGCCCACAGGGCGTGTGCCTCCTGCCGAGCGTGACGGCGCGCAAGGCGCTCACGGCCAAGGGCGCCAAGCTCCTCGCCAAGAAGCAGCATCACGGCGCGTCTGCCTCGCCCTCGTCGTCGTCGCCGTCGTCGTCGAAGGTGACTGCGAGCGCGAGCGTAACGGCGCCCAAGGAGCCGGCTATCCCGCCCGACGTCGCGGCGGCGATGGAGCGCAAGCGCGTGCAGAACACGCTCAGTGCGCGGCGGTGCCGGGCCAAGAAGCAGGCGCGCGTCGCCGAGCTCGAGGAGGAGAACGAGGCGCTCAGGAGGAGGGTCGACGAGCTCGAGGAGCTGTGCCGGCAGAGGGGGTTGGCGCTGTAGCAGGTCGCGTAACGGCGACGTTGTCGAGGAGAGTGGTCCGGGTGAAACGATGGAGCGTTCAGGGTGTGCAAGGAGCGTTTGCGAGCCCTGGTTGACGAGGAGCAACGTGTCGAGCGAGGCGAGCTTGTTGGCTCGTCGCGTGTCGCGCTTTTCGCAGGCTGGAGCTCGAGCGTGATCGCGCACCCATGGCAGCGCTTGCTCGCCTACTCGAGTCCGAGAGTGAGGAGAGCGAAATCCAGCCAAGCGGGAGGTCAGAGCGCCATCCTGCGAGGGCGCCCAGGCTTTGTGAGGCAGTGCAGCTCGTCCAGCTTCGCGCCTCTCATCGCAGGTGCATGCTAGCCTTCTCTTCTCACCGCGAGAGCACCTGCGCAGAGCCGCAAAGCGAGAGAGCCGGAGCGGTCCGAGCCTGCGTTTCGATTCGGACTGACCCGCCCCGACTACGTTGACCGGCCGCAGGTCGCTCTCGTCATTCTCGTTGCTCGCTCGGACCGTGCATGCGACAGGGACGAACGAGAGCAAGGAAAGAGAGACTCGCCGAAAGAGCCGCTCAGGCGGTGGCCTGCGTAGAAGCGTGCGCACCTCGAGCAGGATCGAGGGACGTACGGTGGCCGCTCTCGACGATGGGCAGGAAGCAGCAGGCACGGCGGCGCAATGTTACAAAGACAGGGCTCTGGACAGGGTAGGATTACACGCGACGAGGACCTCCAACGAGACGCTCCCGACCCGCTCACGCGACCGCCTTGCGCTTGCCGGCGCGCTTCTGCTTCTCGCCCTCCTCGAGAGCGCCGACGCGCTCCTTCTGCCCGTGCCCGGCGCCTTCCCCAGTCCCGTCACCCGCATCGTCCTCCTCGGCCGCAAAGTCGGTCTCAAAGACGTGCTTCTGGCCGCGCGAGTAGTAGTGCGCTGGCTCGCCGGCGGCGACGACGGGCTTGGTGACGAGGACGTAGCGGATCGACTGTGAACGAGAACAACGCCGTGATCAGCCGGTACGTACGAGAGACGATGGGCGGGGAAAGAGAGGAGGGGACGCACCGATTGAGGAGCGTCAAACATAGAGTCGAGGAGGACGTCCTCGAGGATGCGACGCAGGCCTCGTGCGCCCGTCTGCTTCTGCACGGCTTGCGCGGCGACGGCGCGTAGTGCGGGAGAGGTGAAGCTGCAGACGAGAGACGAACAGAGTCAGGGCAGGATCGTCGCGACCGTGGCCGACGGCGCGATCGGCAGATTCGGGACATGAAGGGGAACGAGGCTCGACGCACCGTAGCTCGACACCGCTCGCCGAGAACAGCTCGGTGTACTGCTTGACGAGGGCGTTCTTGGGCTCGGTGAGGACGCGCATGAGGTCCTTCTCGGTCAACGACCGCAGGGCGGCCGTGATCGGCAGTCGGCCAATGAGCCTGCAGAATGAACGAGTCAGTGCGCACGTCCTCGAGGAACCACGAGGCTCACGTTGAGGTCGAGAGAGAGAGGAAGGGGACGCACTCAGGGATGAGGCCGAACGAGATCAAGTCGGCCGGCTCGCACTGGTCCAGCAGGCGCGACAGGTCGGGCTGCGGCGAGTCGTTGGCGCCTGCGCCGCCCCTCGTGCTGAAGGTCGAAGGGTGATGCGGCGAGAAGGGTGCGACAGGAGAGGAAGAGGTAGAGGAGGAAGTTGAGGCGGGCGAAGGAGCGATGCGGGCGGTGAAGCCCATCGAGCCCTTCGACAGGCGCGCCTGGATGATCTTCTCGAGGCCGACACTGCGAGAGAAGAACGGGTCAGTAAAGGTCTAGCTCGCGAAGGATCTGTGAGCGCACGAGTCGCCTCGCGCGCTCAGGGCCGGATGGGAAGAAAGAAAGGGCAACGTCGACTCACAAGGCGCCGGCGACGATGAAGAGGACGTTGGTCGTGTCGACGAGCGTCGAATCTCGAGCTGCGCGTTCGAGAGAGTATCAGGGAACGCCCTTGCTCGACGAGCGACCGGTCAGAGAAAGAGAAAGTGAGGACGCACATCCTCCTCTCCGACCGAAAGCCCCGAACATGCCGCCACCGCCGCCGCCGCCACCGCCCGAGTAGCCGTGCTCGCTGACGTTGACGACCGTGCCCTCGAGCATCTTGAGCAGCGCCTGCTGCACGCCCTCGCCGCCAACATCTCGCGAGGCACCTCCTGCCGACGAAATCTTGTCAATCTCGTCGATGAACACGATCCTGCAAGGGAGGAAAGGACAAGATCAGGGACTGATGGCTGGGAGGGAGAGGTAAGATTCGACGCACCCACGCCCCGCACGCTCGACGTCGCCATCTGCCGCCTCGACGAGCCTCGCGACGCAGTTCTCGACGTCCTCGCCGACGTATCCAGCGCTCGTCATGCTCGTCGCCTCGACGCTGACGAACGGGACGTCGAGGGCGCGCGCGAGCGTCCTCGCGAGGAGCGACTTGCCGACGCCGGTCGGCCCGAGGAGGAGGACGTTGCTCTTCTCGAACAGGGGCGGCTGGGCGTGCGCGATGGAGGAAGGTCGCGGCGTGCGGAGCGAGCCGCCGACTTGACCGAGGAAGTCGGTGAGGATGTCGGACGGGTTGGGCGACGACTCGTTGACGGGCGGTCGGTCCGAGGCGGTCGACGGCGACGAGGGCGCCTTGTCGTCGACGACGTAGATCTCGGGAGCGCGGTTGTACAGCGTCGGGTCCTTGGCCGCCGCGTCGTCCGGGTCGGCGACCTGGACCTGGAAGAAGGCGAGCTCGCCCGCCGGCGTGCGGAAGTACCGTGTCGCCGTGCTCGAGTCGCTGGCTGGCGACGGCGCGACGGCCCCCTTGCTCGCCTCGCTCGACGCGTCATCGCCCACCGCTCCTGCCCCGCTCTCCTTGGCCTCGTCGCGCGAAGAACCCTTCCTCGGCGCGTCCTCGCCCGCCGCTGCCGCCGCGCTCTCCTTTGCCTCCTCGCGCGACGGCCCTTTGCGGTTTCGAGGCTTGGGCTTGATGTCGGCGGCTCGAGGTGCCGAGAAGAGGGTCGACTGCGAGAAGGCGTCGACGCGCTTGCGCTCGTCGGGCGTGAGGGCGTCGGGCTCGACAGGGGTCCAGCCTGCCGTCTGGAACGGCAGCGGGACGCCGAGCGAGGACGTGCGCGGCTTGGTCTTGGCGCGCTCGTCCTGCTCGACGAGCTGTTGAAGGCGGGCGTAGTGGTTGTAGACGCTGTGGCAGGGAGAGCGGCTCAGCCGAGTCGAACCAAGTGGGGCTCTCGAGAGAGAGGGCAGAGGGAGAGTGGACGCACGCGACGGCGAGCACCTTCTTGGCTCGCTCCTGCCCGATAACGTACTCGTTGAGGTGTGCGACAAGCTGCACGGTGCGACGTTAGGCTCACGGCCAACGTAGGGAGAGAGAGGGCGAGAGTGGACGCACGTCTCGAGGTGAGGGTTGCCGCGCGCCCTTGAGCCCGTCCTTGCCCTTGCCCTTGCCCGCCTTGCCCGCTCCATCTCCAGCAGCTCCGCCCCCTCCACCGCCCGTGCGCACTTGAGCGAGCGCCGCGGCGTAGCGTGCGGGCACCTGGCCGCGCGGGGTGCGCATCTGGCGGCGCAAGGGGAGGATCGTGGGCGACAGGGTGCTGGTGCGCCATGGCAGTGCGGCGAGCGGCCGCTTGACAGTCGAGAGCATCGAGGGCGCGTGAGAGGAGCGAGAGAGCCGCCAACCGGTCGGCGCCGCGATGAGGCGGTGGGGGCCGCTTCTTGCGAGCGCTTCTTGCGAGTCTCGAGAGACTCTACGAAGGGGTACCAGGTGTAGAACCGGCGACCGCACACCTCGCGAGAGAGCTGGCAACAAGTCGACCGCTCGCCGAGAGGGACAGCAAGGGACAGCTCTCGCAGCTCTCGCGAGAGACGACGGGCAGCCAGTGATTGCGATGCGCGTATCGTATTATGCAGAGCGAATCGCGGCGGGCTACAACAAGCAAGACGAGGGAGGAACAGGCGGGCGAGCAAAGCGCCGCCGCGCCGAGGAGGAAAGGGACGAGCGCGGGCTGTACAAGGGTGCGCGAGGTGGACGAAAGGGACGAAAGGTACGACGAAAGAAGGTAAAGCGAGTTGTACAGGGGCAACCGAGGGTCGTGGTGGCGAAGGAGGACATGTGGGCGAGGGCGAGGTCGAGGAGGCGACGTGGCCGACGAAAGAGGACGAGTCAGGCGAGCGGCGAGGGTGCGAGGGTCGAGGATCAGGCGAGTGTCGACCGGGCGCGCTACTTGGCTTGCTTGAGCTTGCGCGCACGCTGCCTCGGCTGCTTCTTGCCGCCGGCGCCGCTGCCGGTCGTCGACGCAGGCTGGCCGCTGCCGTCGTCCTCGGTCATGTCGCGCAGGAAGATCTTGAACGTCTTGACGACTGTGCGTCGAGAAGAAGGGGGAGGAAGGCATGCGTGAGCCGGCGGCTGGGAAGGGGAACGAGGGACAACGAGAGGAACGTACACTCGTTCGGGATGTGGATCTCGCGCGTCGGCGGGAAGATGCTCAGGTCCGTGTCGGGCTTGTCGCGCAGGTAGTCCTGTACAGGGAGAGACAGAGTCAGGGGCTGCATGGTAGGCGGCACGGTCGATTGCCAGGAGTGGAGAGGACGAGGGCGCACCTCGAGGAAGACGAAACTCCTGCGGCTCAGGCTCTGCGTCATGCGCGAGTCGGCCTTGAACGGCGTGACGCCCCACATGCACCAGGGCTCGGGGTATGGCGCCTCGCCGTGCTCATGCCGCACGGCGTTGTCGTGGCGCAGGTCGGTCCGGATGCGCTTGACCGTCTCGTCGAGCAGGATCGTCGTAGCGTCGAACGCGTCGCCCGAGATGGCCCCTGTACACCCAGGAGATACGTTGTGTCAGTGAGGAGCTCAGGCGCTGTCGATGAGGGCGACGAGGACGTACAGGGCATGGTGACGGCGATGAAGGTGGCGCCGTTCTTGAGCTGCGGCGGCGAGCCAAGCGAGTCAGTCTCTCGGTCGACGTGGAGGAGGGGCGCGAGAGAGGAAGAGGGGACGCACATCGTGCTCGACGATGAGGAAGCCCGACACCTCCTTCTCGAGCGGGTCCTCGATCTCGGGCTCGGGCCTCGGCGCCGCACCCGGCTTGGGCTTGGCCCTCCTGCGGTGCGGCGTACTCGTCTGGACGGCGACGTAGCGCCGAATGCCGCGCGACGCCTCGACGTCGACGCTCATGAGCGGGCTCAGGAGGCTCCACCCGTCGACGACAAGCTTCTCGCACTGACCGAACGTGGTCGCGAGGCCGTCGCCGCGCTCGAGCATCTCGGGGCGCGCCTGGGTGCGCATGCGCGTGTTGAAGTAGACGAGGCGGCACCGCGCCTCGAGGGCGTGCAGCTTGTGCGGGTCGATCTCGGTGATGCGCAGGACGTCGTAGTCGATGTCGCTCAGGGGCGGGTTGCGAGCGTGGCTGAGCGTGCAGGTGCGCCGACCGGCGGGGAAGAGCTCTGCAGGGGAAGAGGAGCGAGTCAGGAGGGGCGCGCATGTGCGAGAGGGCCGCTCGAGTGATGGAGGGGGAGGGAGAGGGAGAGAGGACGCACCCTTGCACCTCCACCGCCCAGGCGTCAACCTGCCTCCTCCTCCTCCACAGTCCGAGCAGGGCTTGTACTTCTCGGCGCAGGCGTTGCAGATGACCTCGACCGTGAACGCCGGCGGCGGACCCTCCGTGAGCGACGTGATGCTGCCGGCGCCGATCGTGCGGTCGCACACGTCGCACGTGAGGGCCTGGCGCTTGAGGTGCGCAGGCAGGCCGCGACTCGTCTCCTCGGGCGGGAGCGTGAGCCGCGACGACTCGGCGCCGGTGACGCCGGCGCCGACGCCGCCAAGGGCCGACGACGCCGAGTGGCTGTGCGCCGGCGCGCCCTCGATAAAGTCGACGGCGCCCGAGAACGAGTCCTTGAACGTCGCGCGGTCGTGCTCGGACGGGCCGGGGAGCGTCGAGAGGAGCGCGCTGCCCGTCGTCGCGGCGCTCGTCGCGCTGCCGGTCGGCGACCGCTCCGAGGGCCCGGCCTCGGCGGCGCAGTCGGCCTCGAACGCGCGGTCGGCGAGGCGCTCGCGACGAGCGTCGGCGTCGTCCTCGGCGGGCGGCTGCTCGTCGAGCGGGAGGCAGTCGAGGCACGAGTAGCTGAGGCGGGGCGCCCATCCGCTCAGGTCGCTGCCGCGGCAGATGACCTTGGCGCGGTGCTGCCCGCACGTGTAGCACACGGCGCCAACCTCGGCGCTCTTGGCCTTGCCCTTCGAGTGGCCCGACGACGCGACGGCGTACGTGACGCCGAACGACGACTGGACGAGCTGCTTGCCCGTCGACGCCGGCTCGCGCGCCGGGTTGTAGGCGAGGATCGGCGCCGCCGAGCGGTGGATCGCGCGTGCGCTCGACGCGAGCTGGAGCTGCGGGACCGTCTCGGGGAAGATGGTCGGCGGCGGCGAGGGAGGCTTGCTCGTCTGCGACGACGGGTGCGACGCGGCGTCGAAGCTCGCCGAGCGCGAGGCCGACGACGGGGCGTACGGGTAGGGCACAGGTGGAGGAGGGAGGGACGAGGGCGAGTCGAACGCGCCTGGGGGAGGGCCAGCCGAGTAGGCCGTCGGCTGCGGCGTGTGCCGGTACGGGTCAAAGTGCGAGTGCGGCGCCTGCATCGACAGGCCGAGCGACGGGACCGACGACGTCGTGGCCGGCCTCGGCTGCTGGCCGACCGGGTAGGACGGCGACTCGAGGAAGGACATGGCCTGGCCGGTGGCCGGGCGCGCGGTCGAGGGCGGAACGGGCGACTGGGCCGAGTACGAGAAGGGGGCGCCGCTCGGGTACGAGGGGCGAGACGACATGGAGGGGCCGGGCGAGTAGGACGAAAAGTCGGTTGGGGCGGTGGTGGCGTGCGGCGGGACGAGGCTCGCGCTCGTCGCCGGACGGTACGGCAGCGAGTGGGCCGACGGCCCGTCGAACGAGTAGGTGCGCTGCGGCGCCCAGTTTGGTCCCGGCGTCGACGACGTCGGCAGCGAGGCGGCGTACGCCTCGCGTTGCTCTTGCGCGTACTGGGCGAGCGAGGGAGGAGGAGGTTGCGGCGAGAAGTGGGGGAGGCGAGAGTCGGGGTGCGACAGGGGCGACGGGACGGGGCCGGCCGAGGAAGGGCTGCCGGCGTAGCCGTTCGACGGTGAGCCGTTGTGCGCCGCTCGATTGGGCGAGTAGAGCGGCTGCATGTTGGGCGCGAGCGACATCGACCCGCGGCGGTAGGCCGTGTACGACGGCGGGGCGAGCGTCGACGGCGAGAACGTCTGCGCGTCACTCGGCGCGCCGAAGAACGCCGCGTGCTGCTGCGGCGCGTAGCTGCCCGCGCTGAGCGGCGACGGCGGCACCTCGCCTGCTCCTCTCTCAAACCCGCCTGCGCCGTGCTGCAGGTAGTGCCGCTCGTCACCGCCGCCGCCGCCGCCTGCTGCCGTCGACCCGCTCGACTGCAGACCGGGATGTGGCCTCGAGCGCGCGTGCTCGTCTGCCGCCCGGCCCGCGCCGTCGACCGTCTCGGCCCACGACCGCTTGCGCGAGAGGTTTCCGCCCTCGTCGGGGTGGGCCGACGCGGCGGCGAGGCCGCCGTTGAGCGGGTGCGAGGTCGAGTGCGGCGTCGAGTGCGGGTACGGGCGAGTTGGCTCGAAGGGGGAGGGTGACGCGGACGGGTGGTGGAAGACGGAACCTCGGCGACCAGACGAGGTTGGCGGTATCGCGAGCTGAGGGAGGTTGGGGTGGCCAGGGTAGCTGAACTGGTGCTGCTGAGGCTGCTGGAGGTGCTCGATCAGCGCTGCACGGCCTGACGACAGCAGCTCGGCAGTAGACGAGCCAAGAGGGAGGGGGGGGACGAGACGGACCTCGGACGGGTCGTCGCCGCGGTGGAAGGCGCTGCTGTACGAGGCCCACGAGCCGTGCTGGTTGTCAGGCCCACCGTCTGCGCGCTGCGGGGCGGGCAGGCTGGCCATGCTCGGCGAGTTGCGCTGAGAAGGTCCGGCGGATGGTTGCTGCTCGACGGCGGTCGGGGCTGCCGGGTCGTGCTGCTGCTGCTGCTGGGCCGCGGTTCGCGTGGCAGCTAGTGCCCACGGGTGGCGAGCGTGCATGCAGCCGTGGCGAGACGACGAGAGCGAGCCAGGGGAGGGAGGGGATCCGGAGGGACAGCGGGATCGGGGTCGTCTCGCTCTTCCTGCGTTTGCGTCCGCTCCGCACTCGTTCCCCTCGCTCTCACGCGAGGCCCACAAACGATCTCCGGCCGCGCGCGCGCGTCGACGAAAAGGAACGCTCGCGCGGGGGGTTTCCAATGGCTGTCCGCAAGCCTCCGGCTCGAGTCGCGTGGCTGCCACCGCTCGTCCTTCCCCGCAGCGGCAGGTGTCGAGCTCGACAGGTGAGGCCGAGCCGTCGCAGCTCTGCGCGGTGACGGCGTTCGGACCGCGTTCCTGAGACCGGAGCCATTGTTCTGCGGGCGTTCTTTTCGACGATCGTCGCTCGGCCCCCTCTTGCCAGAACTGCTCTCGTCGCTGTGCAGTGTGCTCGCCCCAGCTGAGCACCTGCGCGCTCAGGGTCCCGGCCGCGCCTCGACCATCTTCTGGCTTGCCAACTGGCGATCCTTCTCGACGTCTCTAGAGGCTCGACCAAGTCGAAGTTCGGCTCGCAATCAACTCTGCAATACCTGTGCTCGGGTTCCCGGCGCGAGGACAGCTTGCCATCACCGCTCCTCGAGAGTTCTTCCCCTCGCTCGATGTGCGAGAGAACGACCGGCGTCGAGGACCGCTCGGTTCCCTTGTGCGCGGCCAGCGTTATGTAGTTCCGGGTCGCCGCACTCGGGCGCGATCTCGTTGACGGAGCAAGTAGATCTCGGAACCCGCGAAACGGCCAACGAGATCGTCGCGGTGGCCAAGAGGAATCGCTTGAGAGACGAGAGGTGGAGAGGGTCCGGGAGCGAGCTGCCCGGCTTCCCTCGAATGGGCGGGCGGGCCAGGGACAGAGACGACACGCTCGCCTTGTCTGCGACATTTCTCCCGCTCGCACGGGACAGAGTCTACGCTGATCACGGCTGTCGAGCGCGCCTTCCCTCTCTCCACGCACGTCCCGCTCCCTCGCCGAACGACGTAACGTACTAAGCTCTCATGTTTAACGAACTAAACCCTCATGGCTAACGTACTAAGCTCTCATGGCTAACGTACTAAGCTCTCACGGCTCAGCGGAGCGAGAGCTGACGAGGAGCGACCCTCGTCGTCGACCTTCTCAACCAGCGCACGCACGGGCCTCGCGAGGTCAAACTCGCCGCCAACCCCGCTCGTCCTCAGCGAGTGACGACGACGGCCGTGTCCCACAGCTGTCGTCCGCCCTGAACGCGCGCTTCCGAGAGCAATTTGAGCCTGCCCCGCTCAGTACGAGCGACCGCGCAGGACCGCGCGGTCCGGCGGCGCGCGAGCTGGTTTGCATGCCCGAAACCTGATCGAGCGAGCGCGACTCTCTTCAGGCTCAGGTTCCTCATGCCTGGGCTCCATCGAAGCGAGAATCGTGCAGCGAGCCGTCCACGCAGCGCACGTGCCACCGCTGCGAGGACGAAGCGAGCGGTCGGAGAGCCGCTCGAGCGACGAGCGAGCGTCGCGAAGCTTCGTAAGCGAGGTGTACGGCTTCGGACGCCAAGAGAAGGCTGCGTTCAATAGGACGGAGCCGGCCGAGAGAACGTAGCTCGTCCGGATAGCTCTCGACAGGCGACGCTCGAGGCGAGGAGCACGAGGGCGAGGAAGGCGGTATAGTACGATTGCGAGGGTCTGTGGGGGCTATCGACGAGGGTATAAGCTACGAGAGGGAGGGGGAAGAGCGCCTCAACGGCGGCCGTGGACGTCCATCGACTGCGGGAAAGGAAAGGTCAGGGCGCGCTCGACAGACCACCGCCAGCTGGGTTCGAGAGAGGAGGAGAGAGCGTCGACGCACCTTGCGGATCGCCTCGTACGGGTCCTCGATCGCGCCGTACCTGCCTCCAGCCGCCGACTCGCCGTACCCTTGGTCCTCGAACGGGTCCCGCAGCCTCGGCGCCGGCACCCTCGCCGACGCAGCGCTCCTCCCGTACTCTGCCGGCTCGCCGTCGAACAGGCGCTCGCCGCCGTCGGCGTAGTAGCCGCCGGCGCTCGGGCGACTCGACGCGCTCGGCTCGTCGAACGACGGGCGCGCCCACGCCTCGTCGTCATCTTGCGGGAAGTGGGCGCCGGGTGGCGCAAAGCCGGTCGACCGAGGATTGCGGCGCACGCGGGAAAAGATGAGGAAGGTGAGGGCGAGGGAGGCCGACCAGGCAACTGCGCGGCGGAGAGCGAGCGGTCGGGCAGAGCGCGAGTCAGTGCGGACGCCTAGACGTGCTGGCTCGACGAGAGAGAGCAGGCAGGACGCACAGAAGTTGAACCAAAAGAAGGCGGCGCTCGCCCGCTTGTTGCGGCAGAACGAGGGCAGGGCGTCGACGTAACCCTCGAGGTCGGCGTGGGCGTCCTTGGTCGCGTCCTTGCAGCCGCCGACGTTGGCCGAGACGGTGTTGACGAGCGCCATGAGGAGCATGCACACGACCTGGAAGACCTGGAGGATGGCGGCGATGCGGATCTGCTTGAGGCCGCGCTCGAGTGGGCGGAGGAAGCGCAGCTTGTCGGCGAGGAGGAAGGTGGCGACTACAGGGGGTGGGTGCGCACGTCAATGTTCGTCGCACTCAAAGAGGCAGAGAGAGAGATGGAGCGCACGAACGAGTCCGCCGTGCAGCAAGGCCTCGACGCAGAAGAAGAGCGAGACGCCGACGCGCCCGCTCGTGCCGACATCCCACTTGGACTGGAACGCGGCTTGCGAGATGAAGATGCACAGGGTGACGAACGGCTGTGGGACTCGTGGCAGGTCAGCTCGGCGAGGGAATGGGCGAGAAGGGGGAGGCGAGACGCACGAAGAACGTCTCGAGGACCCGCAGAGCGAGGCCGAGAGGCGAGTTGCCGTCCTGCGGTCGAACAAGGCGGTCAGTCGGTATTCGTGGAGGAGGCTGGAGAGGTTCCCGGACGCACCTCGTCGTCCCACCACTTGCCCGCCCCGTCGACTCTCCTCGCTCCACCTCGCGGCGGCGAGCCGTCCTCGCCCGAGAGCACCTCGCCGCCGGTCTTGCCCTCGATCCCAGAGCTGCTGAAAGGTGAAGGGAGGCTCGACATGGCGCCCGAGGCGCGGTCGGTAAAGGTGGAGAGGCCTGCAGGAGAGGAGGGAGGTGCGAGAGGAGGTGCGTGAGCAGGCGAGGTCGTCGAGGCAGGGCAGAGGTGGCCGCGCGTGGGCCTGGGGGACTGTGTGGGAGACCCTGGTGGGGTAACCGCCCTCTACAGCTCCTTTGGAGCTGCTGCTGAGGTCACTCGAGTCGGCGCAGCCCGGTTCGCCTCGTCCCACCGCCTGCGGCGAGTGCAGGCCGAGTAGAGAGAGGAGTGCGCACCTGGTACACGGTCTAAGAGTCCCATCGTGGCGGCAGGGCGCTGGCGAGGGTGTGAAGAGCGAGAGCAGCGAGGTGCCGCCGAGGCCGAGAGCGGGGCGGTGCAGCAACTTCTCGGACGAACCGTCTCTCACTTTGCGCGCACGCCGACAGAGAGAGGAAGAGAGGGTGCACCGCTCACAGTGCAAGGCGACTCAAGCTACTGCAGGCAAATCCTGGGCGAGAGAGGCGCGGTCGCTCAACGCCTCCTCCCCGACTCCCTCACCGCCGCCAACCTCGCCGCATGCCCCGGCGGCAGCGCAACCTTCCTCCCTGCACCCGCACCGCCCGCTCCCGCGCCGACGCCCGCCCCACCGCCGCGCGCCACCTCGTCTGGCGCGAAACCCGGCACGCGGATGTTGTACGCGCGCTCGAGGTGCAGCGCGAGGTCCTTGACCTCGAGGCGGTCCGACTTGCGGTGCTTGGCGAGCTGGCACCCGAAGCGCGTCACCGAGTCGATGAACTCGTCGGCGATCTCGAGCAGGAGCTGCGCGAGGTGGGTGCGCGAGGACGAGCGGGCGAGATTGGGCGGGTTCGGGTCGGCGGCGACGAGGCGGCGCGTTGGAGGTGGCAGGGAGCGAGGGGCAGAGAGGAGGAGAAGTGAGAGGGGGTGGGTCAGTGGGTGGACGAGGAGGAGAGAGCGGGAGGAGAGAGGGAGAGGGACGCACATCCTCGACCTCGTCGCTGAGCCGCTCCTCCGGGTCGACCGCCTCGACCACCTCGCGGATCTTGCGCTTGCTCACCGTGCGGCCCTTCGAGTCGTCGGCGCGCACGTCCTTGTTCGGGAGCGCCTCGACGCTCGACGCGCCGCTGCCGAGCGCCGGGTCGACCGCGCCGAGCCCGAGCGCCGGCTGCTTGGTGATGGCGGGCGTCGACACGGACGGGCTGTTGGCGAGGCCGCCCGAGATGGTCGGGCGTGGAGGAGGGAACGCTTCGGGCGTCGGCGCGGCGACGTTGAGCGCGTTGGGGATGGTCAGGCCCGGCGGGACCCCTCCCGGGAACGCCGACGCGCCGGCTCCTCCTGCTGGACCGCCGCCCGCCTGCGCTGCCGCTGCCCCGCCCTGCTTCTGCTGCGCGGCGACGGCCTGCGCTTGGGCCATGGCCTGCGCCTGAGCCATCGCCTGCTGCTGCGCCTGCTGCTGCCCGAGCGCGAGCACGTCGGCCTGCTGCTTCTTGGTGAGCTTCTTGCCCTGCGCCGCCGCCGCCGCCGCCGCCGCTGCCGCCGCCTGCGCCTGCGCCGCCGCTTGAGGCGACCCGCCGCCGCCGGGCACGGGCGGCAAGGCCCCGCCGGCGCCCATCGACGGCGACTGGCGCAGCGGGCCGCCCGCCTGCTGGCCCGGGAACTGGCCTGGCGACGCCGTGCGGAACCCGGGTCCGCCGCCGCCGCCGTTGACGGCCGCCTGGGCCTGCTGCTGGGCCTGCTGGGCGGCCTGGATTTTGCGCTCCATGGCCTGGCGCTGCGCCTCCTGCATGCCGAGCAGGTTGAGCCCTTGGCCGCCCGCGCCACCGCCCGGCACCTGCTGCCCGGCCGCTGCTGCCGCCGCCGCCGCCGCCTGGGCTTGGGCCTGGGCTTGGGCCTGCGCCTGGGCCGCCGCGAGCGCCGCCTGGGCCGCCTGCGCCTGGGCGGCCGGGTTGTTGCCGCCCTGCTGCTGGGCCTGCTGCTGCTGCTGCTGCTGCTGGTGCTGCGCGGCGAGCAGCATCTTGACGACGCGCGACAGGTTGGTGCGCGCGTTGTCGAGCTCGGCCTGCATCTTGGCGCGCTGGTCGTCGTTGATGTCGGGGCGCGCGAGGAGCGCCTCGATGTGGTGCACGCGGTTCTTGAGCTGCTGCACGGCCTGGGTCGCGTTGGGCTGCTCGCCGCCGCCGGGCTGCGGGACGCCGCCCTGCTGAGGAGGACGCTGCGCGCTGCCCGCCTGCTGCTGCTGCTGCTGCTGCTGTTGCTGCTGCTGGATCTGCTGGGCCTGCATCTGGAGCTGCTGCGGGTGGCCCTGCTGCTGCTGCTGCTGGTACTGCTGCTGCTGCTGCTGTTGCTGCTGCTGCTGTTGCGCTGCGAGTCGCGATCGGCGAGTCAGGGGGAATCGCTCGACGACGGGTAGGAACGACGAGTGTGAGAGGGGAACGGACCCTGGGCGCCGTTCTTGAGCGCGACGGCCTGCTTGAGCTGGGCCATCTGCTCGGGCGAGAGGCGACCGTTTTGGGCGAGGAGCATGACCTGCTGCAGGAAGGGCGACTGCTTGGCGCCCTGCTGAGGCGGGAAGAGGACGTTCTGGAGGTGGGCGAGGGCGGCAGGAGGGTTGTTGGCGAGGTGCGGAGGGTACAGGTGGTGGACTGTGGGAAGAGGACCAGGGGGCTGCAGTCAGTGACGCGTCCTCGACTCGTCGAAGACCCTGACACGCTCAAGACTCGACTCACGGACGGCGTCAAGGTTGCCCTGCACCTGCTGGGCCGACTGCTGGCCGCCCTGCTGCTGCTGCTGCATGCCCTGCTGCTGTTGCTGCTGCTGTTGGACCTGCTGCTGCTGCTGCTGCTGCTGGGGCGCGCCCGTGTTGATGCCGTTGCGCATCATCCACTCGGTGATCATGATGGGCGTCACCTCCTGGCCGGTGGTGGCGCGGGTCTGGCGGATGTGCTCCTGGAGCGCGTTGAGCTGCTGCGGGTTGAGCTGGGCGATGGGCGAGTTGGTGTTGGGCGGCTGCGGGCCCGAGAGCGACTGGGGCGGGCGCTGCTGAGCTCGAGGCGGCATGGCGGGCGGTCGTTCTCGAGTCGAGTCTGGTCGGCGGGCGGATCAGGGGATGAGATGCGCCGAGGCGAGGTACGGCGGCTGCAGGTGGTGGGCGCGGGGAAGAGGTCAGTCGGAGGTCGAGGCGAGGGGACGGCTCGCGGGCGACCTCGTGACACGAGTCGGGAGAGGCGAGAGGGGGCTCACCTGGTAGCCCTGGCGGGTCGTTGTACCACGACGTGTAGTGTGGGCCGTCTTGTGCAGGCTGTGGTGGTGTGGGCGAGGTCGGGGTTGAGAGGCGATGAGGTCGAGGGCGAGGTCGACGAGGACGGGGCGCAGGCGAGCGCGACGAGGAGTGGTGGCCTCAAGAGGGCGACGAGAGTGCAGCGAGTGGTGGTGCGGGTGTGCTTGGCGCAGGAGGCACGGCGGTAGCGGTTCAAGGCCGAGTCTGGCTCGAGGACGAGATGAGGCTGGCACCAACCACGACCTGTCCCTCTCGACACTCTCGCTCAGGTGCGTCCCCTACACCTTGACACGGACCGTATTGCCTGTCTCGACCCGCTGACCTTTGCCGTCCGCCAAAGCAGCTCGACCCGACCTCGTCCACCTCGCCCGTCCCTCCAGAACCGCTCAGCCTCTCGCACGCCGCACCGCATTGGCCTGACTGTAGATCCCGCTCATTCAAGATGACCACACTTGACAGCCCTGCATGCACCGCATGCGCAAAGACCGGTGCGCCCTCGTCTCGCTCCCCCAACCCCCTCACCCCTCCGCCTGACCCTCTCTCGCACGCCCGCAACCACAGCCGATCAGCTCCCGACATCGCGCAAGATGCTCGTCTGTGCCAAGTGTCAGAAGGACGCCGGCCGCCAGGTCCACTACTGCTCCCGGTGAGCTCCCTCTCTCGGTCGTCGACCTGAGCACACACTGACATCGCCTCTGGACGCTCCGCAGTGACTGCCAGTTGAACGACTACAGGGCCCACAAGTCGACGTGCGGCCTGCGCCTGCGCACCCTCGCCGAGGCCATCCCGCCCGTCGCCGACCCGTCCGCGCCGTTCCAGCCTCCTGCCGCCCTCCTGTTCCACCTCGCCGCCCTCACGACCCTCCCGCCTCCCGCCCTCCCCTCGTCTTCCCCACCCTCGTTCCTCTACTTTCCCTCGTCCCCGACCGCGGCCGCCACCTCGTCGTCGTCGTCGACGGTCGCGGCCCCTCAGCCCGTCCCCGTGTCGCTCTCGCCCGCGACGCGTAACCTGTTCAACGCGCTGCAGCTCGTCGCGTTCCGGTCGGGCAACCCGCTGTCGGTCAACCTCATGTTCTCGCTCCTCCTCACCGAGGTCGAGGGCTCGGCGGCGCAGAGGACCGCCTCGTCGAGCAGCTCGCCGAGGAGTACCGCCTCGACGGCGTGCAGCAGCTCGTCGACGGCGTCGAGCGCAAGAGCCTCGCCGACATCCTCAAGGAGGAGGACGAGCCCAGGCCCGAGGACCTCGTCGAGGCCATCGGCGGCGAGCAAAACATGGGCCTCTTGTGTGCGTCCGCCCTCTCTCTCGCTCTCTCTCTCCCCAGTCTCTCACTGCGCCGACATTGACGACTCTCTCATCGACTCTCGCAGTGCAGTGGCAGATGCAGATGGCCAACCAGAGCCAGGTCAACGAGGAGTCGTAATGCAGTCGCACGTCTCCCTCTCTCTTTGCGTGTCGTGTCGAGAGCGCCGAGAGACGCTCGTCCTGGCGACTCGTGTCGTGCCCCTCGTTGTCGAGTCGCCCCTCGCGCTGCTCGACCTTCTCGCAAGCATGTCGCTCCAAGCCCGCGTCGCCCCGTCGACCTCCTTCTCGCGCCCAACACGGCCCAGCCCCGAAAGACGAGAGGACGCCCCCGCTGCTCGAGTGCCCGGCAGCGCCTGCCGATCCTTGTCGCCTGCCCTGCTGCTTTCTCCCTCGAGGTGCCCGGCCGTGAGCGTCGAGGCAAACGGCGACGAGTCGTCCTCGCTCGAGTCGCACGAGCCGCTCGAGTTGCGCAGAGCCGGCCTGCTCGACGACCGCATGGAGTGGCAGCACGTCGAGGGACTTGAGAGCACAGCGAGAGCTGCGCAGATGCAAGTATAGCTGCCGCGCTGGCTCCTGCAGAAGCTCCGGCCGAGGAAGCGTTCCGCGAGCGAGAGGAGAGGGGCGCACGCGCCGCGAGAGCTGCACGCTGCCGGCCGCAGCGCTCGCAAAAGCGCTCGAGACGGGCTGAATCGCCGCGCTATGCGGTACCGGCGAGGGGCGAGTTGCGATGAGCGTGGTCGGGCGAGGTGAGCGGCGGGAGAAGGGCGAGGGCAAGACGGGGGCGCAGCGGGCGCATGGCGGGCAAGCATGAGGAGCTCGCCAGGAGGCCGCAGGAGGGCAGCAGGGCTCTCGCAACGCATCCAGAGGCGGTGATGTCGAGCGGCAGGTCGATGCTGCCCGCCGACCCGACAGCTCCGCCTCGCACCGCTCTCGCTCCTGCCACACACCCGCACCAGCCATGTTCGCCTCGCTGAGCCGCACCGCCATCCCGCGCACCAGCACCCGCTGCTTCTCGGCCTCGGCCCGCTCGTCCGCCGAGGTCAACGCCGCCGTCTTCCTCGAGGACAAGGCCGGCGAGCTCGTTCCCGCCGCCGCAAACGCCGTGACGGCCGCCAAGAAGCTCGGCGGCAAGGTGACGGGCATCCTCATCGGCAAGGACGAGGCCAGCCTCGAAAAGGCCATCGCCATGAGCCGCAAGTGCGTCCCCCCCCTCCGGCTCACCGGCAACCTCTCGCGGCGGCAAGGCTGGAGCGAGGGCGAGCGGGCAAGGCTGCAGGACTGCGATGGAGCTCGTGAGAGCGGGCACAGCGCTCAGCCGGGCGTGCTCGTCGAGGAGACGATGCCCTCGCACTTCTCGGCTCGCCGTCCCTCCTCGAGCCGATGTGGCGGAGCGGTGGACAACGACCTGCAGCGTTGCCGCACGAGCAGCCTCATCTGCCCCATGAAACAACCCAGACTGACCCGCACTCGAAACCCGCAGGCTCGGCCTCGACAACCTCCTCGTCCGCCACGCTGCCGCCCTCGAGCACGCCCTCGCCGAGCCCACCGCCCCTGTTCTCGCCGAGCTCATCAAGAAGAACGGCTTCACCCACCTCGCTGGACCGCACTCGGCCCTCGGCAAGAACATCTTCCCTCGCGTCGCAGGTCTCCTCGATGTTCAGCAGGTGCGTCCCCAGGTTTCCCTCCCTCGCGTCGCTCTGTCGCTCTCCCCTGTCGACGGACGAGCTGATACAGGTCGTCGAACACGCACAGATCTCGGACGTCATGTCGATCCAGGACGCCGACACGTTCACGCGCCCCGTCTACGCCGGTAACGCCATCTCGACGGTCCGGTCCAAGGACGCCATCAAGCTCTTCACGGCGCGCGCCTCGACGTGGGAGCCCGCACAGCCGACCGAGAGCGAGTGCAGCGTCGACGTCGCGGCGGCCGAGAACGTGGGACCTGGTGCGTCGACTCTCGCCGCCGTTCCTTCCCGTCCTGTGCCCGCCTCGAACCCGAGCCCTGACTGTGCTTGTTCGCCCCCTTGTCGTGCGCAGAGCAATCGCAGTGGATCTCGGAGGAGCTCGTCAAGTCGGAGCGTCCCGACCTGTCGTCGGCGCCGACCGTCGTCTCGGGCGGGCGCGGCGTAAAGTCCAAGGAGTCGTTCGACTCGACCATCATCCCGCTCGCCGACGTCCTCGGCGCCGCCATCGGCGCCAGTCGTGCCGCCGTCGACAGCGGCTACGCCGACAACTCGCTCCAGGTCGGCCAGACGGGCAAGGTCATCGCACCGGCTCTGTACATCGCCGTCGGCATCTCGGGCGCGATCCAGCACCTCGCTGGCATGAAGGACTCGAAGACGATCGTCGCCATCAACAAGGTGCGTCGTTGCTCTCGCTCTCTCGAGCACGGGCTCGCCGTGCCCGTCGACAAGGCGGTCGAGAAACTCTCAGGCCAGGTGTACTGACTCTTCTGCCTCGCCGCCTTACAGGATGCCGACGCGCCCATCTTCCAGGTCGCAGACGTCGGCCTTGTTGCCGGTACGTCCTGTCTCGCCCGTCTCCTGCTCGAACCTCGTCGCCTCGAGCGCGAGCGGGATGAGCTCAAGCGCCAGGACTGACCCTCCTCTCTCATAGACCTGTTTGAGGCCGTCCCCGAGCTCGTCAAGAAGATCGAGGCGGCCAAGAAGTAGAGCAACACGCTCCCTGTCCTTCTCCCGTCCCGAGCAGTTGTACCCCGCCGCACCTCGTCCTCTTTTCCCTCGCCCGCCGTCCTCCTCTGTCATGATAGCCCGAATCGCTGTGCCCCTCTCGTTTCTCGTTGCGATAGCTCCAAGGGAGTGTCCTGAGAGAAGCGAGCGACCGGTGAGCGGTCGAAAAGAGACGAGTCGTCCTTCCGAGAGAGCCGCGAGCTTGAGAAGGCTCAACTGCTTTCCCTCTCGCAGGCAGCGCAACATGCAGGCAAGGTCACTGAATGACATGGACTATCTGACGAAGAGCTACGACCGGTGCAGCTCGCCTTCTTCCACCCCTCGTCCTCACCACCAGTGCGCCTCGCTCGGTCCTCCTCCCTGCGGCGCCGGCCCCGACGTCCCGCCCTCGAGCACGTCCCGCAAGCTCGACCTCCTCCTGCCCTCGGCGCGCACGGCGAGGACGGCCTCGAAGCTCCTGACGACGTTGTGGAGCGCCTCGGCGCGGCGGCCGCCTTGGGCGTGCGCGCTCGGGAGGAGCGACGGCAACGAGTGCGACGAGGGGAGGGCGGCGTCGGCGCACGTGGGCCGGATGCTGTACTGGCGCAGAGGGGGCGAGTCGAGTGTGCGAGGGGTGCTGGTGCCGCTGAAGGAGCGAGGGGGAGCCGGGTCGTGCAGGTGGTGGTCGTGCGGCGGCGACGGGTAGGCCGGGCTCGGGTGGCTCGCCGAGCGCCGCCGGCCGCCGTGCGGGACGTGCCTCGCGAGGAGAGTCGGGCGCGACGAGGGGCCGCCGTACTCGGGACGAGGCGACGTCCGGGCGCGCTTCTTGACCTCGCACGGACCCTCGTCGTCGCTCGAGAGCACGGGCGCCGGGTTGTCGTAGAACTCGACGACGCCGCCGCTCCTGCGCCTCTTTGTCGGCTGCTGCTCGCCGTGCACGACGGTGGCGGCGGCGGCGCCCTGCTCCTCCTCCTCGACGCTGCGCCTGCGCGCCTCGAGGGCGCCTCGCGCGTGCTCGGCCGCGTGCAGGACCGCCGTCTGCCCGCACGGAGCGAGGCGCTCGCGCAGGGCGGCGTACACGCGTGCGTAGACGTCGGCCGAGGGCGCTGCGACGGGCACGGGCCCAGGGGACGAGGGAGGGGTGGGCGACCGCGCGAGGACCGCGGCGGCGAGGGCGTGCGGGTGCGTCGGCTGCGGGTGGTGCAGCCTCGGCGAGGCGGTACGGGGTCTCGTCGACGAGGGCGGGCGCGAGGTGCGCAGGGAGGAAGCGCCGGCGAGCGGCGAGCCGGGGAGGGACAGCGACGTGAGCGGCGGGAGGACCGTGTGCGAGAGGTGAGGGTGGTCCATCGCGGCGTGGTTGGTCTGGCGTGCGTGCGAGGCGTACGAGAGGACTGCAGCCATGGCGGAGGGAGCAGAAGCGAAAGCCCTCGCGCGGTCGCGAGGGGAGCGAACAGGGCGCGAGCGTGCGAGGGCGGCCACGAGGGGGGCCGGGGCGCACTGAGGGCAAAAGCCTGGGTCCGGCTACCGATGCGGCTCGAGCGAGAAGATGCGCAGCGAGAGATTGCCCTCCAGGCCCGCGCACGCACAGGGCCGGCTGCGAGTTGACGCGGAGAAGGGCGCGGGGACCGTCGCGGTAGCCGACGCCGCACAGCGTGCAGAGCGGGCCAGGCGAGCCCTCGACATGGCGACCGAGCGAGATTGGTGCAGATCCCAGGGGCGAGCGAGAGCCGAGAGCGTGTCGAGAGCGACAAAGGCGAAGAGGGAGAGCGTGCGCCCGCGCCGCATGAGGAGAAGCCGACACCGGGCCTCGGCCCTTCCTCTCGCCGCTTGCGCAGCTGCCAGAGACTCGCGCGCGCAGGGTCTGCGACGCCATCGAGACACGGTAGATTGTACGCGCAGCCGGGTCGACAATTTGCGAGGTTCGGCGAGCTCCTTCTCGAGCGACGAGAGCGCGCTCGAGCCTCTGCCGCCGACCCAGCCTCTTCTGTCTCGAGCTCGGCGCACTGCATTGCGTTTCGCTGCGTCGCGACGAGGCTCATTCGTTTCGCATCGACGACCTGAGAGTGTCGCTCCCTGGACAAGAACGGCCGGCGCGAACGTCAAACTCTCGCGTTCTTCGGCAGCTTGATTGCGCTGCCCTTGTTCTCACGTCTCGAGCGCGCACAAAGAGCACAGCTTGCGCGCCGCATGTGCGTCCTCGCGAGGACTAGCTCGAAATCGCACGAGCCAGAGAGAAAAGTTCGGCATCGAGCGAGGTGGAGAGAGCGAGGAAGAGAGAGCGAGAGAGAGGGGGAGGAGGACGACGACGACGCGAGATGCTCTCGACGGGACGCGCTCGGCCAGACGCTCTCGACGAGCCACCTCTCGAGGCAAACGGACAGAGAAGGACAAGGAAGAACAAACTTGCAGGGCACCGAGAGGGGCCAGGACGTGGGAGGGCTCAGAGCTCGTCACCCGATACCGCCGCGTGCTCCTCCTACTTCTCGACACCCTCGGACCCGTCCGCCATCGCGACGCCGCCAGCCGCCTCGGCCACCGCCGCCGCCGCCGCCGCCGCCTCGTCCTTGTCGGCCTGGCGCGCCTTGTCCGCCTCCTCGGCGCGCTTCTGCTCGCGCTCGCGCTTCTTCTGCTCCCAGTCGCGCGAGACGCTGACGACGAGGCAATGCTGCCCGCCGGCGTCGGCCTTGATGGCGCGCAGGCCCTTGAGGACGTCGTTGAGGATGCGGCGCGGCGTCCTCTCGCGCTCGCTGCCCCCGGCGCCGAGCTGCTCCGTGGGCCCGTAGCCCCACGTGTAGACGTAGCCACGCGCCGAGACGGCGATCGAGTACTGGCCGGCGCTCGCGACGTGGACGATGCGGGTCGGCTTGGTGCACAGCTGAGGCTCCTCGTCGTAGTCGTCCTGCGTCTTGGTGCCGTCCCAGGAGGCCGGCTCGAGCGGAAAGTCGACGCGCGAGGGCGTCGCGACGTAGTCGTTCGGCAGCGGGCACTCGACGGCGGCGACCTGCTCGAGCTTGTGGTCGATCTCGGCGGCCGTCATGAGCTCGAACTTGCCGTCCTTGTTGTGGTACGCCTTCTCGTTGTCCGGGTCGACCGTCGTGCCGTCCTCGAGGAAGTACGTCTTGCGCTCGGCGTCCTTCCACGCGGCCTGCTTGACCTGGGCGTCGGCGCGGCGCTTGCGCATGTCGACCATCTCGGGGTGGTCGTCGGGGAGGCCGCACTCGCCCTCGTCGACGCGCCCGACCGTCCACACCTCGCCGTTCGAGAAGAGGAAGACGGTGTGGAACCCGCCGCAGGCGATTTGAACGACGCGAGCGCCGGCGTGGTCGGCAGGCGACAGGCCCTTGACGAAAGTCGGCTCCTCGATCTTCATGTTCTTGCCGCCGTCGCCGGCGACGCCCGTCTGGCGGTACGTGTGGTTCCCCCACCCGAAAACGTCGCCGTCCTTGTCGACCGCGAACGAGTGGTACGCTCCCGCGCCGACGAGGACGATGTTCTTCAGGCCCAGGCGCTGGGGCGTCAAAGTCGACATGATATCGGCTGCGGGAAGGTGGCCGAGTCAGTGCTGCGCTCGAGACCTCGAGAGAGGGGCCAGTAAGGGGAAGGGGAAGGAGGAGGGGCAGGAGAGGGAGAGGGAGAGGGAGAGGGAGGAGGGTGGGACGCACCGCGAACCATGATCCTCCTGCCGAGCTGGCCGCAGTCGCCGACGCCCGCCGTGAGGACGTCGCCCGTGGTCGTGAGCGCGAGATAGTGCTCGTCGCCGCAGGCGATCTGCACGATGGCATGCTTGGCGAACGCGCTGAGGGCCGTCGGCCGCCACTGCAGCTTGACGGGCTCGTGCGTGACCTTCTTGGTCTGGGCATCGACCTCGGGGACGCGGATGAAGCCCATGGGCCCTTGCGAGTTCTGCAGAGACGGGGCCGGCGGGCGAGGTCAACTCGCGATCGACGGCGACGAGGAGCAGGAAGAGGGAGGGGAGGAAGAGGGAGGGGAGGAAAACGGAGGGGAGGAAGGGGGAAGGAGAGGAAGAGAGAGGACGCACCCGGAACGCGCCCCACACCTTGACGTCGCCGCGCTCGTCCTGGGCGAGCGAGATGCTGTCGCCGGCGTAGCAGCGCACGGCCCTGAACGGGTGACCGACGTAGCCGGTCGGCTTCGAGTCGATGATGGAGGCGTCCTGGTACTCGACGGGCATGGGAACGCTCTCGAGCTCGTCCGAGTTGTCGCCGGCGGTCTGGCGGCCGAGGGTCGCGTGGTCGTTGAGCCTGCGCGCGACGGAGGAGCGGGAGTCAGGTCCTCGTCCGTCGGCGCCGCGAGAGTGAGAGAGAGTAGGGCGCACCCCCAGCTGTAGATCTGTCCCTTGCCGTCGACGCACAACGTGTGCATGCCGGCTGCGCAAATCTCGGCGGGCCCGTCCTCCCACCCGGCCTCCTGCGTGCGGATCTTCTTCTGGATCGTCGTCTGGCGAACGGGCTCGTCGGCCTTGACGCGCACGGTGCCCATGCCGAACTGGCCGGCCGTGGAACCGTCACCCCACATCTGGACCTGGCGCGGCGCGTCGGCGTGCGGCGGGACGGGCTCGAACTCGACAGCGCTCGAGAAGCTCGACTCGGGCGGGAACAGAGACCAAAGCTGCGGGATCGGGTTCATGCCCTGGACGGGCGCCGGGAGCGGCTTGGCCGGGCGCAGCGGCTTGGGCGCGACGACCTTCTTGGCGCGAGGTGCGGACGAGGCGCTCGACATGCGGCGCTTCTTCGAGGCTGGCCCGACGGCGTCGGCGTCGTCCGAGCCCTCGACCGACGACAGGGGGCTCGAGGCGCGTCGCCCGCGGCGAGACGTAGTCGGCGGGTTCTGGGGCGCGGCGGACGGGGTGGGCACGACCGAGATGCGGGAGGAGCGACGCGCAGGCGTCGAGGCGGGTTTAGCCGAGGCGATGGAGGAACGTGGGCCTGTGTGCGTGATAGAGTCAGTCAGGCCGAACGCAGGGAGACACGCGCATTGTTGTAGACGACGAGCGAGGGGCGATGGGGAGGGGGAGGAGGAAGACGGCTCGACGAGAGCTCGCGATCGCTCGTGAGGCAGCGCGCTCGCTCGGACGTTGTCGTAAAAGACACATGCGCCGACTCGAGCTGCACGCGGTCCCTCCCAGGGGGCGGACGAGGCGAGGGCGAGTATTGTTTATCGTGGTCCGCCCTCGTCGACCCGGCGCGAGCGAGGAGCGCAGGCGCGTTGGACTGCGCGACGAGGGATAGTATTGAGGGTGGTGGGACTCACGTTTAGGCGGCATGTCGGTCTCGGTGATGCTGAGAGGTGGACGAGGGGCGAGAAAGGCGACGACGACAGCGAGATGGGCGAGCAACGAGCAGCCCGCCGACGACGCACTCGGTTGGGCTAGTTGTAGCTCGACAGCACCCGAGGACATCTTCTCGTACTGCTCGGGCCCAGCAACACTGCAGCAGAGGGGAGCGGCGCGAGGCCAGCTCACCGTCTCGAACCTGGCTCGCTCTCTCAGACTTCGCTCTGCTGGTTCAGGGAGGATCGTACGCGCTTCAGTAGTACTTCGCAAGAGGCTTTCGCCCAACCGGCCAGTCCAGGCGAGGTGGGCCGACACGGTCTTGTCGACGCGTCGACCTCGTCCAGCTCTCGCTCCTTCAACCGCCTCGCTCTCGCTCTACCAGCTCGTACGACCACCGAGCGCAGGGCACAATGAAGTGCAAGGCCCTCGAGATCCGCTGGCACGAGACCAAGTGCGCCCGCCTTCCTCCTCCTCCCCCTCCATCTCGCAGCCCCGCTCACCGCCTTGTCCCTCCCCCTGCCCAGGCCCATCTTCAGCGCCGACCTGCACAGCGTACCGCCAAGCCAGCACATCAAGCCCGCCCACCCGTACGCCAAGCTCGGTGCGACCGGCGTCGACAACCACGCCGGCGAGGACGACCACGCGCGCAGCGAGCGTCTTAAGCGCGAGCACGACTCGAACGACCGCGACAAGTCGTGGAGGCTCGCCACGTGCGGCGGCGACAACAACGTTCGCGTGCGTCTCCTCTCGCCTTCTCTCCTCGAGGAGACGCCCCGGGCGGCCACGAGCGAGGTGGGGCAGCTCGAGTGGGCGAGGAGCGACGACCGCTGCGTCGTGCAGCTCGGCCCCTCTTCGGAGGTGTTGGTCGTCTCAGTAACTGACACGCCACCCGGACTCGCACGCAGCTCTGGCTCGTCACGCCTCGTCCGCACCCCGACGCGTCCGCCCTCTCGCTTCCCGCCAAGCAGCCCACTTCCGCCGCTCCTGCGCCCTCGAGCTCGTCTTCATCCGCACCACACGCCAACAAGCCTGCGCCTGAGCCCAAGGTCGAGTACCTCGCCACCCTGAGCCAGCACACGGGCGTCGTCAACTGCGTCCGGTTCGCGCCTGTTGGTGAGTCGACTGCTCCAGACTCATCTTGGCCTCTCTCTCCTCGCGAGGGAGCCGAACGATTGAGTTTGTCCCAGCAGTACTGACCGACCGGCCCTTTCCTCGCAGGCGAGATGCTCGCGTCGGCCGGCGACGGTGCGTCCCCCTCCTCCTTCCCTCGCGAACCTTGACGTCCTTGCCGTACTGACCCTTGGCCCGCACAACCCGCAGACGGCAACATCCTCATCTGGGTCCCGGGCGAGAGCAGCAAGAAGATGGGCGAGACGGACGAGGACCGCGCGTACGAGAAGGAGAGCTGGAGGGTCAGGAGCATGATCAGGTGCGTCTCGCTCTCTCCTCGGTACCGCTCGTGCCCGCCATCCTCGCGAGATACCTCGAGCGTTTCTTGGCCTCCCCGTTCACACCCAGCACGTCTGCAGGAGCATGTCGGGCAAGGAGATCTACGACCTCGCGTGGTCGCCGTCGGGCGACCGCCTCCTCGCCGGCTCGGTCGACCACACGGCGACCATCTACGACGTCCTGTCGGGTGCGCCGCTGTACAAGATCGCCGAGCACACCAACTACGTCCAGGGCGTGTGCTGGGACCCGCGCGGCGAGCTCATCGCGACGCAGAGCTCCGACCGGAGCATGCACGTCTACAAGGTGCGCGACGCCAAGAAGGGCGGCGCAGGCGGCGTCGAGGTGCACGCAGTCGGCAAGAACTCGCGCCTCGAGGTGCAGCGCCGCCCGCTGTCGGCCTCGTCGAGCTCGGCCGGCCCGAGCGCCTCGTCGACGTCGTCCGGGTCGCTTAAGCGCGCGCGCAAGCCGAGCGAGGCCGCCGCTCCCGACCTCCTCACGCCGAGCTCGAGCGCCGGCGCGACGGCGAGTCGTCCGGGCATGCCGGCGCGCGCGTCGTCGACCCGCAGCGACGTGTCGGACCGCTCGACGGCGACGACTGCCGCGACCACGACGGGCGGCGCCGAGGTCATGAAGCCGATGGACCCGCCGACGGGCATCCCGCACCACCCGCCGCCGCCGCCGCCGAGGGCGCACTCGCACTCGAGGCGCAGCTCGACGAGCGGCAGCCAACCGAGCCAGAGCCCGAGGTTGACGCCCGTCGCGATGCCTCCCGGCGGCAGCGGCGGCGGCAGTGGCAGCCTGTCGATGAGGAGCCCGAGCCCGGCGCCGCCCCTGCCGGCCGTCATGCTCCCCCTGTCGCCCAAGATCTCGCCCGCGCCCGCGCCCGCCGCCGCCGACGAGCTGTCCTCGAGTACCGCCCACTCGCAGCAGCAGCACCAGCAGCAGCAGCCGCTGCAGACGCAGACGATCAAGCTGTACGGCGACGCCAACAGCACGCCCTTCTTCCGGCGCCTGTGCTGGAGCACCGACGGCTCGCTCCTCCTCACGCCCGCCGGCCTGTGGGAGGACCCATACGCCGCCCCGGCGTCGCTCTCGGCCTCGGGCTCGGGCTCGGGCGCGCCGTCGTCGTCGAAGCGCGACAAGAAGGACAAGAAGGACGATCGCGCCGCACCAGGAGCCGGAGCGACCGAGCCGCGCCCGACCGTCTACATCTACTCGCGCGCCAACGTCGCTCGGCCGCCGGTCGCGCACCTGCCCGGCCACCGCACGACGAGCATCGCGATCCGGTTCTGCCCCGTCCTGTTCGACCTGCGCTCGTCGTCGTCGTCGTCGTCGGCCGCGGGCTCGGGCTCGGGCTCGGGTGCGGCTGCGGCGGGCCCCGGCGCCGTTGCGGTCAAGAGCGGGAGCGAGGTCGAGCGTGTCGAGCTCGAGGGCGAGGACGAGGGCGTCGCGAGGGTCGAGCTCGGGAGTGAGACCAAGGACGTGAGCCTCATCGGCCCGTCCTCGTCCTCGTCCTCGTCGGCGGCGGGCGACAAGGGCAAGGCGCGCGCGCTCGACGGCGACGACAAGGACAAGCCGCAGAGCATGTTCGACCTGCCGTACCGCATGGTGTACGCCGTCGCGACGCTCGACTCGGTGTACCTCTACGACACGCAGCAGGCGGGCCCGATCGCCATGTTCGGCAACCTGCACTACGCGCCTTTCACCGACCTCACCTGGTCCGTCTCTCCTCCCTCTGTCTCTCTCTCTCTCGTGTGGGCGCGAGCGCAGGCTCGAACGAGGAGAACACGCGCCTGACGAGCTTTCCTCGCGCAGGTCGACCGACGGCCAGACGCTCGTCATCTCGAGCCAGGACGGCTACTGCAGCGTCGTCGCGTTCGAGCCGGGCGAGCTCGGCACCCTGTACGCCGACCAACGCCCGTGGACCTTTCCCGCCGATGCGTCCGCCGCCGTCGCCGCCGCTTCGACTGCGCCAGCGCCCGCTCCCTCGCCCCGGGTCAAGGTCGAGCCCAAGCCCGACAGTGGCGGCGCGCTGCCGTCGCTCTTTGCCAAGGTCGCCTCGTCGTCGTCGTCGACGGGCGCCCCGACGAGCGCGAGCGCGGGCACGAGCACGTCTGCCGTCGTCGTCGACCTGACGCAGTCCGACTCGGCGTCGTCGTCGCCGGTCAAGCGTCCCAGCTCGGCAGCAGGTGCGGGCTCCTCGAGTGCGGCGGGTGCGAGGGACGGAGCGCAGGACGAGGACGGGCCGCCGCCGGAGAAGAAGCAGAAGAAGCGGGTGGCGCCGACGCTCGTGCGGCCGCTCGGGTCGTGACGAGGTGTGACGCGGCGAGGGCGGCTTGGTCTGTAGACGAGGGCAATAGCATCGCTTTGCTTGATCTTGTCCAGCGTACCGGTACCTGCGAGACGTGCGCAAGCCTGATCGGACGGCGAGGACGAGCCGACCTCCTCTCGCACTCGTCCACCCTCTGCTCGACTCGCCAGGATGAAGGGCTTGCTCGTCCTGTACCTCGTCGCGCTCGCCATCTCTTGGACGACCCTGTCGCTCGACCTCGCGTCGATGATGACCGGCCCAAGATGGTGCGTCCGACCTCTCTCGCCTCTCCTTCGCGCGGGCCCTGCTGCAGCGTTGCGAGGTGCGGCACGGTCTGCTGCAGCAGGACAGAGGCCTGCACTGACTGTCACTGACTCGCGTTGCCCGTGTCCCCCATCCTTCTCTCCCTCATCGCTCCTCCCCCACCTTCGTCATGAATCTCGCCAACCGTTCCTCACTCGCCCTCGCCTTGCCGCCAAGCAGGATCATGACCCGCACCAACTCGACCGTCCCCGTCCACCTCACGACCTCGTACGGCCTGTTCCAGCAGTGCACCTCGTCGTCGTACGAGCCCGGCGTCGTCCACTGCCGCTCGTTCCCGCAGCGAGGCGTCGACTGCGGCGGCTCGCCGGCGCGCAACGAGGACGGCAAAGACGATGGCGTGTGGGCCGGCGTCTTGTGGCTCACCGGGCAGGCGGGCGAGGCGCATGGCTCGACGGCCGGTACGGCGAGCGGTGGAGGGAAGGACGCCGACGAGGAGCTGTTCGGCTTCTGCGACGCGTGGAGGATGGCTGGGTGCGTCCCTGCGGTCCTCTCTCTCGTTGGTCGCGGCGCGGCTAAGGGCCGGGCCGCGTGCGTGGGCACGAGAGCGGTCTGACCATCCCCTTACGCGCACAGATACGCCCAGCAGCTCTCGCTCGTCTTCGCCTTTGCCAACCTCATCGCCCTCACCTTGACGCTCCTCGGCACCGCCAACGCCGGGCGCGGCTTCCGCACCGAGAAGCTCCGCAGCGGGTGGAAGGTCGTCGCCGGCCTCATGGTCCTCCAGGCCTTCTTCATGTGCGTCAGCAGCAGCCTCGTCGCGTACGAGTTCCACCACGACTCGAGGTTCGCCTACGACTCGAAGCTCGGTCCGTCCCGCTTTCCTCTCGCCGTTTCTCAGTCGCTCGGCGTCGAGCGGGACCTGACCTCGCGCTCGCACCGTCGCAAACAGACCGCGCCTGGGTCGAGACGGTCGTCGCGTACGCGCTCAACCTGTTCATCGTCATCGTCCTCCTCCTCGCTCGCGCCACGAGGGCGTTCCGCATCGCGCCCGGCGTCGAGGACGGCTACGAGCCGATCGAGGACCGCCGCGACGTGGCCGCTTGATGCGCCTTGTTGCGGCCGCCCCCTCCCCTTCTTCACACCCGTCGCACATAGCCGCCGTTCCGTCCCTCCCACACCCTGTTTTCCCCTTCTCGTCGTCTCGTCGTACTTCCCCTCCTCGCCTCGCCCTCGACCTCTTCTTTCCGCCCTTGGTCGTGGTTCCCCTCTTTTGTTGTTGGCTCTTGCACCGAGAATGTGGGATCTCCTCGACGGTTCGGCATGGCGGTCGAGCGTGGTCCGGCGAGCGAGATTAGGTGCGTCGCTCGTCCCTCTCCCCTCTCTCCCTTCCTCCTCCTCCTCACGCCTTCCTCTGACACTTCCTCACGCCCACAGCGTGTCCGGCTGTGCTTCTCGCTTCTGATACTGGCTCTCTCGAAGCCGCCGACTCTCGCCCGTCCACCTCCGCCGTCACCGCCGACGCCGCCTCCGCAATCGCAGCTCGTCGCGCCAAAAAAGGGTCGGCGCGTGCCGAAAAGGTGTCGAGCGCTGCGAGGCTCGGGCGTCGCACTCTTCGGTGCCCCCAACGCTTGCGACGGAGCGGCGGAGCTCCCCACGCCGTCGACTCGCTCGCGGCGAGGCGGGCTCAGCTCTGCTTCCCTCGCTCCTCTGTCCCGCTGCGACGTCGGCTCGCTCGTCGCTCTCCCGACCGACACTCCTTTACCGACCGCCTCTCGACTTTCGCCGACACTCTTCTCTCCCTCCTCGCCCTCGCCCGCCAATCCTCGGCAACGCCAAAGCCTATCTCCCCCACGCCTCGTCTCGCCTCGCTTCGCCCAGCACCTCGACGCTCATGTCCACCGCCGACGTCAAATACGAGGGCACGCACGCCGCGACGGAGAAGGAGCACGCGGGCGTCGACGCCGGCGCCGTCGAGGTCGGCGCATTCGCTGCGCGCGACCCGCTCAACCCGCAGGAGGGTCCTCTCCCTCCCCCCTTCGTCGAACCCTATCCTCCGCTGCTCGCGCCCCTCCAACATCAACTCGATGCTTTACCCGCTCGTCGCTGCGACCCAGTCTGGAACGGCGCCATCTCGCTCGTGTTCAAGGAGACGTACGGCTGGAACTCGGGCCAAGGCGCGACGCCCCTCCTCGGCGGCGCCGTCGCGGCCCTCGTCGGCCTCGTCGAGCACAAGTTCATCCAGGAGCGCCTGTACCGCCGCTCGGTGCGCGAGGGCGGCGGGCGCGCCAAGCCCGAGGCGAGGCTGTACTCGTCCGTCGGCGGCGCGCTCCTGTTCTCGGCGGGCTCGTTCGCTTTCGCCTGGACGTGAGTCTCTCGTCCTCCTCTCAGATCTTGCAGCCTCTCTTCGTCCGAGCGGGCGCAGAGTAGCAAAAAGAGCGGTCCGAACGGGTGACTGACGACCTTGCCTCTCTAGCGCGCGCTCGTGGATCCACCCGGCGGCGCCCATCGTCAGCCTCGTTGTCGCTCAAACCGGGTTGTGGATCATCTACTTGGCGACCTACAACTATGTACGCCGTCGCCTCTCGTCTTCCTCGTCATCCTCGCCCACACGAGCTGACTGCCCCTTTCCTCGCCCCTGCAGCTCGCCGACGTCTACGAGCGGTACGGCTCGTCGGCGCAAGCCGCCCAGTCGCTCATGCGCGGTATCCTCGGCTCGGTTTTCCCCTTCTTTGGCAACACGTGCGTCCCGCTCTCCCATCCTCCCTCGAGTGCACGAGCCGACAGCGCCTCTCACGACCGACGCAGCATGTACCTTCGCCTTGGCTTTCCCTGGGCGAGCACACTCGTTGGCTTCATCGCGCTCGCCTTTACGGCGGTCCCTCTCCTCTTCATCCGCTGTGCGTCATCCTCTCTCTCCTTCCGTTCCTCGACCGCCCGGCCCGACTGACCTTTGTCCTCGGCCACGCGCAGTCGGACCCGCATTCCGCGCTCGCTCGAGGGTGGCGCAGCAGCTCGAGCACGAGGAGGGCGAGGTGCTGCGCGACGAGCCGGCCGTCGTCTCGGCGTGAGGGAGGGTCGAGTTCGGTGCAGGCGAGGGTGCGAGTGCGAGCAGCGGACGAGCAGTGAGGGCATGGGTCTGTACATCGAGCATGGAGGTCTGGAATGCTGCAGCAGGACTGTCGCGAAGCAGCCGAGTCGAGCTAGAGAGGCTCGAGAGCGACAAAGGCGGCCTTCCCAAGTTGAGCGTTCTCTGCGAAGCCGAGCGGGAAACCGCTCTGCTCGCGACGAGTCGGCGCACCTAGCTTGAGCTCGGAGCTCGACCTCGGCCGTCGACGCGAACGCAGAGCTCGAGAGAGCATCGAAAGGGCGAGAGCGAGGCGCTTGGACTGCGAGAGAGGCCGCACGGACCCGGGCTCCGGCCTCAGCTCGCGCGCCGCGTGCGCACCGATCGGGCCGAGGGGCCTCGACGTTGCAGCGGACGCGCCGACGCCGCCGCCGCTCGCGTGCGCAGGCCGCCTTGCGCTGGCTCGAGCCCGAGCGGTTCGTCCGTTTGACAGTTCGAGGCTCGCATCGTGATTGTAGCTCCGTCTCGGCTTCGAGGCGTGGCGGGTGTGCGGACTTGAGCGCACTCCGATGCGAGAGGCCGACACTGACGTAGAGAAAGCGGTCAAGCAGGAGCAAGGCGAGTACAGGGAAGAAGCAGCGCAGCAAATCGGCGAGAAACGAGGAGCAGGAGGAGGAAGCGGCGACAATGCAAGGGCGGGCGAGTAGCAGCGTGGATGAATGCCAGGTCCAGGTGCGCGCAGGAGAAATGAAAGCGGGGGCAAGCTGGAAGGGCGCGCGCGACGCAATTCCGCTTGAGAGCCAGGGGGAGCGGGCGAGGCGGCCGACTGCAAGGGGCGCGCTTCCTCCCCCACCGCGTTTGAACCGCACAGCCAGCTTGGCCTACTCGACTTGCCAGCTGCAGCTCAGCACCATCCACCGCACACACGCGCCCAGCTCCGCCTGCGCCGCGCCCCCCGACCTCTCGTCCGACTCTCCAACTCCGCCTCGTGCCGGACGTCCTTCCGCAACTCGCGCACCGACACACGACGTGGCTACAAGGCCAACAGCAGCTCTCGTGCAGCAGGTGCGCTCACTCTCTCTGTCACGCGAGCTCTGCGGCACGAGAGAGGTCCAGCGCGGTGGGAGGAGGACCCGCGACCGACGACGACCTCTGGCGGAGCTCCCACCTCGCTCGAGGAGGTGCGCGCTCGCACAGTGCTCTCAAGGAGGACTGTCGAGCTATCGGACGCGCGAGCGCCGCGCTCGAGGTGCTGGGCCAGGCGGGGGGGGGGGAGGTCGGCTCCTCCCCCTCCTCCTCCGTCCCCCTTTGACGTCGGGCGATCTTATCCGCGGCCACTGGGCCCGCCCGGACTCTTCTCTCGCTCGCCAGGTCCCAGGGTCTAGCTACTCGCAACTCTCCGTTCAAGCGCACACGGACTGACCTCTTTCCTCCCTCCCCCTCCCTCCTCCTCCTCCTCGCCAACAGCGACCCTCTTCTTCGGCTTCGGCTGTCCGCGCGCGCAACTTTGTCGGCTCGACGGTGCGTTCATCTCTCTCTCTGTCTGCCCCCGCTCGGTGGTTCCACCGGCCGGGTCCTTGCCAAGCTGGGTAAATGCGGCGCACGATGACGGAATCGCCAGCCTCGCAAGCGGGTTCCGTCGATCCCTCGTCCTCCTCCCAATCGCAATCCACGGCCCTCCCCCGCCGCAAGGCACGCGCGAGAAGCTCGCCAACGCGAAGCTCGAGTGCCACCGCGGCCTCGCTCGCCACGCCCCTCCCGCCCTCGCCCAGCCCGCGCGAGCAGACGCTCCCCTCTCGCACTGGGCCGAAGCACTGACGAGCCCTCTCGCCCTTCCCCGTCCTCCCTCGTCCACGCCCTGCCGACCCACGCTCTGCGACCTCGCCCCTCGGCAGACGAGAAGAACCCGCCCAAGAAGACCGCCTCGCCTTCTTCTCATCGGCCCACCTCGTCCGCCTCGCCCTCGATGGCGCCCCCACCCTCGCCTCCTGCGCCACGAGCGCCCATACCAGACGCCCCCTTCCACGACCACCCGACTCGCCCCTCGCTCGAGGGTGAGCGCCACAACTCGTCCGACGACAGCGTCGCGACCCTCGCCTCGACCGCCTCGAGCGCGTCGTACACGAGCATGTCGACCCTCCAGAGCGACCTCGGCGCCGCCGACCTGCTCAACGAGCCGCTGCGCCGCGGCAGCTGCGAGGTCGGCCTGTCGACGTCGCTCGAGCAGCGCATGGACGGTCTCGGGCTGCGCGAGCGCGGCTCGGACGTGCCGCACGCCGTGCCGCCGTTCCTCAAGTCGACGGCGCCGAGCGCCCGCCCGCTCCTTCCCAGCATCGTCACGTCGAGCTCCGCCTACGCCGGCATGCACGCCCCGTCGCCCATCACGCACTCGGCGAGCCTGACGTCGTCGCCCGCCGGCTCGCCATCGGTCGCCGTCTTCCCGCCGTCGTCGAGCGCCTCGGCCCCGACGACGACCGCCATCGCCGCATCCTCGCACCGCGCCTCGAGCCCGCTCGCTTCGCCGTTCAACTCGCCGCGCGCGTCGACTCTCTCGTCGTCGACGCCGTCCTTGCGCCCCAACTTTGGCGGCGCGGCGTCCGTCATGGGCGGGTCGGCGTCGTCCTCTCGCGCCGGCTCGATGCCGCCGTCGGGACCCGGGCCGGCGCACTGCGGCACCTCGGCGACTCGCCCATCGTCGGCCGACACGACGTCGACGTCGTCGTCGGGCCGGCCCTGGGTGTTCGACAGCGACGCGTCGAGCATCTGCAGCGCGTCGAGCAGCTCGTGCGGGACGAGCGGGACGACGACGGCCGACGGCGCGAGCGCGGGTGGGCGGATCTTTGTCAACGACGAGGGGCACGAGCAGGTCGTCGACGAGGGCGGCGAGGTGTACAAGCCCCAGGGCGACTACTGTGCGTCCCGCGCGCTCTCCTTCCTCATCTTTCGAGCCATCAGGGGCTGATCGTTCGCCTTCCACATGCCTCGCAGTCCTCGACGAGCGTCCCGAGCCGCCCAATACGTCGCTCGACATCGACCGGTCCGACCCGTCGCAAGTCGTCGTGCGCGTCCACCTGCCCGGCTTCTCGCTCGACAACATCACGGTCGCCATGCGCCGAGGCCACAAGGTGCACGTCGTCGCCGACTCGTACGGCGAGAGCGGCGGGCACTACGAGAAGCTCGTGACGCTCGGCAGCGACGTGTCGTCGGCCGCACCGCGCGCCGAGTTTGACGGCACCCTCCTCCGCATCTTTATCCACCGCCGCCCGTCGCGCCCGACGAGCGCCGCGAGCCTGCCCGGCCAAGTCGCGTCGTCGCCGTTCGGGTACGGCATCGGCTCGACCGGGTCGACGTTCGCTGCGTCGCTGTCGTCGTCACCCGACCCGCACGGCTCGCGCGACCACTCGCGCCGGCCGTCGATTGCGTCGTCGCTCGCGAGCGCGCGCAGCAGCATCGACTCGTACGGGTCCCTGCCCGGGTCCCTCGCGCTTTCGCCGTCACTCGACTCGTACGCGTTCGGCCCGCCGCTCATCCCGTTGCCGCTCGCGGGCGGCGGGGCCGACGCTGCTGCGCTCGACGACGACGCGCTCCCGCCGCCCTGCACCGCTCGCGCCGGCCCGCCGCCCGACTACCACAAGCGCGCGAGGTGCCTCACTGGGCCCGAGGGTGCACGTGCGGCGGCCAAGGCGGCGAGGGAGGAGGCGGCGCGTCGGGCGAGGGAGGAGGTCAAGAACCTGCCCAAAGAGGCGCGCGGCGGCAGGAGGTTGCCGTTCCGCCGCCAGAAGGAGGAGTCGGCGGCTGCGACGACGGGCAGCGCGAGCAGCGGCGGCGAGGGCGGCGCAAGCAGCTCGTCGAGCAGTGGGTGGGGCACGAGCGGGTCGAGCAGCCCGAGCACGAGCGACTCTACGTCGCTCGCCGGCTCGCTCGCCTCGGTCGACCGCAACGGCACGATCAAGGCGTCGTCGCGCACGGCGTCGCCCCTTCCCCTGCCGCCTTACGACGCCCTGAAGCGCCCGCCCCTGTCGCACCAGTCGTCGGGCTCGTCGACCATCAAGGGCGTCGACGCCGTCACCTCGCACGCCCTCGACTCGGCGGCGTTCGAGCTCACCGAGCACCTCGAGCGTCACCCGAGCTCGTCGTCGCTGTCCGTCGACGAGTCGTCGTCGTCGTCGTCGTCGTCTCGCCCCAAGTTGCGCGGCCACAACCTGACGCTGCGGCCGTTCGACCGCGCCCAGTCGTTCGTCGACGCTGCTGCGGCCGCCGCCGTCGCTGCGGGCGAGGCGACCGGTGCGAGCAGCCCGACCGCGTCGAGTGACGGTGGCGGGGCGACGCCTCGCAGGGAGGAGCGCTGCATGCGCTTCACGCCGTTCTCGACCTAGGTCGCCCTCGCCTACTCTTCCTTTCCTCTCGATTTCGCCTCTTGCCTCACTCGCACTCGCACTCGCACCTCGTCACCCTCGCCGTCGCAACCGCCGCACCGCAACCTTGCCCTCCCTTCCCGCCCTTGTGCATCTCCCTCCCCGGTCTTATCCCGCCCACCCGCGCTCCTGTCGTCGTCCTCGTCGTTCCTTCTCTCCTTGCAGTCCCTTCCTTTGTCTGTTGCCCCTCGTACTCGCCCCCCCCCCCTGCACATAGACCCGCTTGCTCCTCTCCCTCCCTCCGTCGTGTGTTTAGCTCTCGCATTCCGCTCTTCCTTACTTTGCGTAGCGGGTCCTTCTTCCCTCGCGCTGCATTCGCAACTGTCCATAGCGCCTCTGCCGGTCAGTACGAGAGTTTGAGAGAGCGCTCGCCCTTCCCCGCCTTCGTCGTCGTCGTCCCCCGTCTCCTCCTCGCCCACAGCTCTGATCCACGATGCGCCGCGTCTCGAACCGTGTCTGGGGCGCCATGCTCTCGGTGGGAGTGCTTCTGCTCGGCACCACGTCGTACCTGGGCGCGACGGGAGCTGCCGCGTCGTCCGCCTCGCCCGCCGACCTCGCCGACCTCAAGATCGGTGCGTCCAGCGTCCCTGTTGCTCTCCAAGTGCACAGTGACTGACTCTGTTGCCTCCCACGATTTCGCCGCGCTCGTTCCCGTGCCCCTCGCCGCCCTCGCCGCCTCCCTCGCCTTCTCATCGCCCCCCTCTCGCACCGACGAGCAGATGTCACGCACAAGCCCACGCCCTGCATCTTCAAGTCTCGCAACGGCGACAAGCTCTCGATGCACTACGGTGCGTCCCCCCTCGAGTTTGTCCAGAACGTTCAGCGCTCACCCTCTCGGACCTCCTCGTCGCAGATGGTCGCCTCGCCGCCGACGGCAAGGAGTTCGACTCGTCCCGCAAGCGTGGCCAGCCCTTCGACTTCGTCAGTACGTCGCACACAGTCCTCTGCACGAGACCCCCAAGTCGAGGGGACCGTCGCTGACACTTCTTCCCGAACGACCCCTCCTCTTCCCTCTCTTCGCCTCCTCTCGCCCACCTCTTCTCTCCTTCTTCTTCCTGCACGCAGTCGGGAAAGGTCACGTCGTGTCTGGCTGGGAGCACGGCTTGCTCGACATGGTACGACGCTCTCCGCCGTCTTCGCGAACCTCCGCAGGTCCTGACCCTTTGAACCGCTCGCAGTGCCCGGGCGAGAAGCGCAGTGCGTCCCTCTTTTCCCTCCCCTACTGCACCATCGTGTCACCTTCCTGCCTATCACAAGAGCGACGAGCTCACTCTCGCCCGGCGCAGCCCTCACGATCCCGCCCGCCCTCGGCTACGGCTCGCGCGGCGCTGGCGGCGTCATTCCCGGCGGTGCGTCGTCTTTTCGCTTTCCTCTCTTGTCATGCAGCGAGTCACTGACAGTCTCGTCTTGCCCCTGACGCAGGTGCTACCCTCATTTTCGACGTGCGTGCCCTCTCTCGCCAGCTCGCTCCGGTCGACCGCGCCGCACGGACCGCCCGACTGACCCTCTCTCTTCTCGCCCCTGCAGGTCGAGCTCCTCGACATCAAGAACCGCAAGCCGACCAAGGACGAGCTCTGAACAGTCCTCTCTCTATCTGCCTGAACTTGCAACGAGCCTCGCAATTCCGACCGAGAGCTTCTCTTGGTGCAGGCGCTTCTCGGCGAGAGGCTCGCTCTTCTCGGTCTCGCGTTGTCTGAAAGCGTCTTTCCCGCATGCTACAAGCGCTCCTCGATCACGACCGTGCAGCTCAGGTCGTGCCGTCCTCGAACCCGCCGCCCTCGCCGTCGAGCACCCACCTGAGCCTCTCCTTTAGCTCCTCGACGCCGTCCTGCCCCTCGCCCTCCCTCGCCGCGCCAAGCTCAAGCCCGACGAACCTCCTCGCGCACGCCTCGACCTCGCGCAGCTCGTCCCGCTCGGCGGCGCTCATCTGCGCCTCGTCGCTGAGCGCGAGCGCGTCGAGCGAGAAGGTCGACACGGCGTGCGACACCTCCTCGGCGCGAAGCAGGACGTCGGGAGAGAGGCCAAAGAGCGAGGCGAGAGAGGTCGCGTGGGACGAGAGGGCGAGACCGGGTGCGAGGCTGCGGGCGAGATCTGAAGGGGTCAGTGCGCTCGAAATTCGTGACGGGCCCGATCCGCAGACGCTCGAGAGGGTCGGAAAGAGAGAGTGAGAGTGAGAGTGAGGCGCACCGGTAGAGGTAGGCGACGCTCTCGACGCCCTTGGTCTCGGCGCTGCTGCTGCCTGCCGTCGACTCGTCGACGCGGATCTCCATGTGCGCGAGCGTCGCAGGGAGCTTGCGCGACAGGAGGCCGTTCAGGAAGACGTCTGTATTTGGCGAGGTGACGTCTGTCAATAGCGCCCTGGAAAGGCGGGCAAGAGGGAGAAGAGCTGGGAGGAGAGGGAAGGAAGGAAAGTCGCCGACGCACGCTGAAAGTGCGTCGCGACAACGACGCGAGGAGCGTCCCGTCCGAGACCGAGGAGGTGCTCGATGACGCCGCAGAAGAGGCCTGCCCCGTCGTCGGCCTCGGTGCCCTTGCCGAACTCGTCGAGGACGAGGAGCGAGCGCGGCGTGAGGTTGCGCAAGGCGAACCTGGGGCAGGAGACAGGCAACGTCTGTCAGTAAGGGTCCACTAGAGTCGTGACGACGAGTCCAAAGGAGGACACGGCCGTAGAGAGCCGAGAAACTCACGCGATCTGCTGCAAGTCGATCATGAACGCCGACGAGCCCTGCGCGACGAGGTGAGTCAGTCTCGGTCGCAGGCGACGAGCAGTCGAGAAAGAGCCGCACGCACCCTCGTGACCGACTCCCTCGTCGAAACCCTCGTCATGAGCCTGTCCGTCAAGCCGATGAGGGCGTCCTCGGCGGGGACGAAGCATCCTGCGCAAACGACGGCGTTGTCAGTTGACGGTCTCGTGCAAGCGCGCCAGGAAAGCCGTCGACAATCATGTCTCGTCGAGGGGGGCGGGAGGAGAGGAGAGAAAGAGCGAGCGCACCGATGTGGGCCATGAACGTGATGAGCGCGACCTGCTTGAGGTAGACGCTCTTGCCGCTAAAGTTGGCGCCCTGTCCGGTCAAAATCGTCAGGCTCGTTGTCGACGTCCTCGACAGAGAGCGAGAGAAGAGTGGGAGGGGCAGTCGACGCACCGTGAGGATGATCATGCTCTTGTCCTCGTCGCCGCACAGCTCGACTTCTTGCTCCGAGTCCGGCTTGATCGTCGCCTGCCCGCCAACCTGCAGGCGCAACGAGCACGTCAGATACTATTGTCGCCGAGGTCGAGGCAGGGACGGCGAGACTGAGCGCGACTCACGAGCGACGTGCCGTTCGGGACAAACGTCTCGACACACAGCTCGGCGAGCGGGTGACGGCCTCTGCAACGACGACGAGGTGTCAGTCAGGGCGCGACGAGCGATACGGAGACGACGAGGACGCACTTGATGATCTTGCAGACTGCGTCCTCCGTCATGACGGGGCGCACCCAGTCGTACAGCCTTGAAGCGCCGGCGAACGCGATGAGGCTGCGTGCGACGTATCGGTCAGACCTTCGTGGCCCCGATCAGGCAGATAGAGAGATGAGGAACAGAGAGCGCACCAGTCGAGCTCGGCGAGAGCGTCGGCGGCCGAGAGCATCTGGCCTTGAAGCTCGAGGACGTGCCCGACGAGAGCGTGAACTGCGGCGGCTCAACGTGTCAGTGCGCCACACTTGTGAACGTGTACAAGAGGACGTGGGCGCACGGATCTCGATCTCCTTGTCTGCGAGGGAGCGAGGTCGTCAGTCTCGGGCGAAAGGGTGGGGAGGAGGAGGGGGAAGAGGGGCGACGCACCCGAGATGAAGCACTGCAGGTCGCCGATGTGGCGGTCGAGGTCGCGGCATTTGCTGCTCTTGAAGTAGGCCTGCTGCTCGGTGACGAACTGCTCGAGGCAAGGGTGTCAGGCGGTCGGCGGGGAGAGGGAAGAGGTTGGGGGTCCGAGCGCACCTGAAAGTCCCACCCGAACGCGCCGTACTTGTCGGCGTCGGTGACGTTTGGCTCGTTGGCGATCGTGATGAGGTACCCGAGTTGCGGGAAGTAGACGAGCGACAGGTCCTTGGCGAGTTCGCGAGGAAGATCGAAGGCGACGTCCTTGGCGACGCTCGACTGCAGGCGAGCTCAACGTCAATGCTGCACACACTGCGGCACACGAGCTCGACGAGACGTACGAGGAACGACTCGAGGCCGGCGTAGCGACGACGCAGCTTGTCGAGCTCGGCGTCGATGCCGGGCCGGATGCACACCTTGCCCTGCGTAAGCTGCGACTCTTGCCAGTCGATCTGCGCTCTCGAGACGGGTCAGGACAGTCTCGTCGCTGCCGAGAGGAGAGAGGAGAGCACGCACGACGTTGTTGATGATCTCGCCGAGGTCCTTGAACGCGAGCGAGTCGAACGAGTCGAGAAACTGTGGGGGACAGAGGGTCAGTGACGCTCGAAGGGACGCTCGATGAAGCGTGGAGCGCACCTTGTCCACGATCTCGACGCTCTGGCGGTGCTCGAGGCTGAGGATGGCGTCGCGAATCTGGATCGAGCCGTAGACAAACTGGAGAGGCTCCGAGAGTGCGTCAAGGCCCGCTCTACTCGTACAAAGAGGGCAAAGGTGCTCACCATCCAGATGGCCTGCCAGTCCGACAGCGACCCGTCGCCGCTCGCGATGGCCTTGAGGACGCGGCGGACGTTCTTGATGTGCTTGAAGTTGGCCTCGACGGCGTCGATGGCCGGCTCTGCGAGTCGTGACCGTCAGGCCATGGACGTAGAGGAGCAGGAGAAGTGTGGACGCACGGTTCTCGTCGCGAATGAAGCACTCGACGGCATCGTGCCGCGCCTCGATGACGTCGAGCTCGAGCGACGGCCGGATGAACCACTGGCGCATGAGGAGCTTGCCGAGCGGCGTGCGCGCAATGTTGACGATGCCTGCGACGACAAAAGGTAAGTCAGGAGATGGCTCACGGTCCACGAGAGGGAGCGAGCGACTGAGCTCACCAAAGAGCGAGAGGCCTTCCTTTGTCGCCGACGAGCCCGTCGCCGCGTGCGCCTCGTCCTGGAAGATCTGGAGCGACCTGCGAGCTTCGAGGTTAGTGGAGAGGGACGAGAGGAGGTGGCAGTTGCCCGGCGAGGCGCGTACGTGAGCGCGTCCGAGTTGACGAGCATGATCTTGTCGCTGTTGACGACGACGAGAACAGGATGAGCGGGTCGTCCGAAGCAGATACAGATGGAGAAAGACTGGGACGCACAGCTTGATGAGCTCGAGACCTTTGACCTGGATGCCGTCGCTCAGCTCGCCGAGGTCCGAGCGGGTCTTGTGCAGGTGGTTGAGCAGGGCGCCGGCGCATCCGACCTGGGCATGAGAAGTGTGTCAGTCTCGTAAAGGCTCAGAGGGCATGTGAGACGAGGGCGTACCATGAGCGAGCTAGTGCAGAGGCTGTTGAGGAACGCCTCGACCCGCAGCTCCTGGTTCCTCCTCGAGACCTCGCCGTCCGGGTTGCCCGCCGCGCTCGTCTTCCTGCGCTTGGTCGGCCGATCGTCGAACGCGTACGCGTCGTTGAAGCCCTGCTCGAGATCGCCGTCGACGCCGAGGCCCGAGTCGTAGCCCGAGTCGAAGTCGTCGCGCTCCCGCTCGCCCGAGGCGTACCACCCGCCCTCGTGGATGTGCAGCTGCGAGAGGGCGTACTTGCCCTGGCCGGCGTAAAACTCGCGAGTAGGACGGTACTCGAGGCGCGTGTTGGTGTCGCCGGTGACGCCCGAGGTAGACGCGGCGGACGAGAAGGCGTTGGCCGGCAGCGCAGCGAGCTGAGCGTCGAGAGTCTCGAGGAAGGCTGCGTCCGCCGTCGACGACGTGATGACGGTGGCGGGAAGGAGCTGCTCGACGACTGAGGAGGGGCAGCAGGATCAGAGAAGGGCGCTTTGCGCCCTGCTCGACGACAAGGAGCGAGGACTCGGGGCGCACGGAGGGCGGTCAAGTCCCAGTCGGCCGAGTCCTGCTGGTCCTCGAGGACCGAGAGCTTGTCGGTGACCGGGTCGTAGAAGCAGCAGCCGACCTTGCCCTTGACTGACGTGATGGCGAGCACGCCGCCCTCGACCTCGTCCCGCTCGCCGACCTCGTCGTCCTCCTGCTGCCCTTGCGCCGTCCTCGCGGCGTGCCCGTCGTCCACCTCGTCTACCTCGTGCACCTGCGCGTCCCCCCACCGCAGCTTGCGGGTCGTGTCGTCGAGGTCGTCGCGAGCGAGAGAGTGCGGAGCGGGCGTGGGCGAGGGGAGGCTGGCGGGCGTCGCGCGGGTGCTTGGTGCGCGGTGGGACATCGCAGCAAGTGCGCTGAGAGCAGCTGGGCTCGTGCTCGGCAGCTCTAGCGGCGAGGGCGCGGTGGCGGGCACGTCAGAGAGCCGGGGGTCCCTCAACCTCGTCACCGGCTCTCCTCCTCCACCGGCAGCTCTCGAGCGAGCTTGCTGGAGCGACATACGCTGTCGAAGAGAGCTGCTCGACAGGTCTGCCCGAGCAGCTGCGCGCCCCGAGATCTCGGCTCCCTCCTTCTCCTCCTCCCCCTCCTCGCTCCCCTCGCGCCCGTCTTCCTGCTCGTCGACCTCCAATCGGCTTCGCGCCGACGAGCGCCGATGACGAGCAGCGAGGCCAGCCTCGCAACGCGGCCGATCCGTCAGAGAGGCGCCTCCTGTCTGTCCCTCGTCGCGAGACGTCCGCGCCGGCTCCGGAGCCGCTCACGCCTCGGGCGAGGGGCGTGCGACCGTCTCGTGAATGGCGGCAATGGGTCGGCGGCGGCAAGTCCGCGCCCCGCAGCCAGTTAGCCTCTGCTCGCTTCTGCTTCTCGCTTCCTCTTCCTCCTCGACCTGCTCTCCGACTCGCCTCGTCGTCGTCGTCGTCAAGCCTCGAATCCTCGCCCGTCACCGCCGGTCGACGTTGTTCGTCCACCCGGTCGTCGCACCGCACCAAAGCCGCTCACTCGGAGATCTGCCCCTCGCCGACGTCGGCCTCAAGTCCGTCGTCCGCCTTCCTCGGACCCTCCCTCGTCGTTCCGCCATCGCCCCCTCCTTCCGCCACACGATGTCCACCTCGCCACCGCCGACCTACTACGGCGACGTGCCGCACAAGCGTGGCCGCGTCGAGGACGACGACCCGCCGCTCGCCTCGCCCGCCAACTCGACCGGCCGACTCGCCGACCGCTTCCAGACGCTCGCGCGCATCTCAGCCGAGGTCCTGGGCGACGACGACGACGAGGCGCAGGCGATCAAGCGGCGCAAGATCGACGAGCAAGGCGACAAAGGTCTGCCTCAAGGCCGGGCTCGCGGCGTGTTCGTCCCGCGCCAGGCGTCCAACGTCCGCAACTGCGACGGGTGCCGCACCCGCAAGACCAAGGTGCGCCCTCAACCTTTCCACTCTGTGTCTTTGCGACGACCCTGACCCTCGTGCGAACGCGCAGTGCGACCGGTCTCGACCTTGCGGCAACTGTGCGTCCTCGCTCTCTCTCTGTCTCTCCCTCGCGCCTAGACTGATCCCGAGCGCGTCGACAGGTCGGCTTCGCGGCAAACCGTGCACCTACTCGGGCCCCTGTGTCGACCCGTTGTGCGTCTTTGCGCCCGCGTCGCTCCTCACGCCGCCGACGAACGCACTGACCCCCTCCTCCGCCATCGCCTCGCAGCCTCTCGATGCGCCTCGACAAGAACCTGGCCGACATCACGCGCCTCAAGCAGCACGCCTTCATGCTCGCCCGGCGCCTCGGCCTGTCGCAGGACGAGCTCGAGGACTTGAGCCGGGTCGCCGACCAGCTCTTCGAGGACGAGGCCAAGCGCACCATGCCCCCGGGCATGTGGCTCCCGAGCAAGCGACCGCTCGCCGAGGTGCTCTGCGGGCGGGACGCCGCACCGTGCGTCGCGCTGACGCCTCGAGCTGCGTCGACGCTGACTCGGCCGCACAAGCCCGTTCGCGCGCCCGCCTCGTCAACGCCGGCGCCGCCGCCACCGCCGCCGCGGCGCTACGGCGAGTACGACGTCGCTGCGTCGTGGTCGTCGCTGCAGCAGGCGCAGGCGCGCGAGCCCGTGCCGTCCAGGTCGGCGTCGCCACCGCCGGCCAAGCCGTCCTCGCCCGCACCTCCACCTCCTCCTCTTCCTGCACCCAAGCACGGCGACAACTCGGCGTTTACCTCGGTACCGCTCGAGCACGCCACTCGGCTGTTCGGTCCCGCCGCCGCACGCATGACGAGCACGTCAGCGGCGAGCGGCCTCGTCACCTCGTCGCCCGCTTCGAGCACGTCGACCCCGCATCCTCCGCCACGCCCGACCTCGTCCGTCAACCCGATCAAGTGGTCACCTCCCTCGCTGGGCGCTCCCGTCATGACGGCACCACGCGCATCGCCAGCCGCCCTCGCGCCGCTCGCCATCCCCGCCCTCGCCTACCGCTCGATGCACCTCTCGTCGGCCGTCACGAGCCTGTCGTCGGCCGCCTCGCCCCTCGGCACCGCCTCGACGGCATGGACGACCCCTGCCTCGGCCGCACCGCCCTCGTCGTCCTGCGCCGACGGCGACAGGGCCCCGACCCTCCCGCCGTTCCGCCTCGCGGCGCCACGCTCGTCGGCGTCCTCGTCGCCGCCGAGCGCAGCGCCAAAGGGCCCCGGGCCGAGGCTCGCCGGCTTTGCGAGCCTGAGTGCCATCGCCGGGCTCGACTCGCCGGGCGGGCGGGCGTCGTTGTCGAGCCGCGAGGGCGAGGGTCCGAGCGACGAGGACCGGCGCTCGACGAGGCTCCCGCCCTTGCGCCTGCCGCCGATGCAGCACGCCGACTCGTAGCTCGCGCGAGCAGCTTCGTTTGGTGGCCGAGGCGGTCGTCGAGCCGGGCCGAGAACGTCGAGCGAGGGAGGAGCGCAGGAGCGGGCTCGACGAGCGTCGTCGTCGTTCTCTTTCGGTCTCGTCTTGTGCAACGGATCTGTTCTTCTCTCTCTGCCCTGTCTGCGAGAGCGAGGAAGCGGTCTGAGCACTTCCTTTGTGGAGAACGGGCGAGCGAACGAGGTGACATTGCGAGGCGACCGGGAGAAGGTGACTAACGGGACCGAGGCAGGAGAAGAGTGCGAGAGAGAGTGAGAGAGAGGAGAGAAGGTGGCTACGACAGGGAGGAAGAGAGATAAGAGGTGCGAGGGAAAGAGAGGGCGCGACCGGCGCGACCGACCTGAGGACGAGCCTACTGCGCGAGGCTGCCCATGACGAGCGACCACGCAAGCGCATCCATCTTGCGCATCGAGCCACCCGCACCCTGCGTGCTCTCGATCGAGAGGCCGAGCGCGTCTGCCGCTGCGGGCGGCGCCTGCACCCGGACGCCGTGGACCATGGCCGAGATCGTCTCGCGGCCGGGCAGGCGATGCGGAGGCGAGACCGGCGCAGGCGAGAGCGGAAGAGGTGCGAGGTGCGAGTAGGACAGGGTGGCCGACGACAGGGCAGGGTGCGGCGAGAAGGACGACGACGAGGAACGAGGCGCGAACGCCGAGTCGACGACAAAGTCGCCTCGCCTTGACGACGACGGCGACGGCCAGGTCGTCGCGCGCTCGTGCGCCATCGCCCATGACGACGGCGAGGTGATGGTCGGCGACGAGCCGGCACCGATCACCGTGGTGGCAGAGGCGGCGGCCGCGGCGGCGCCCGGAAGAGGGCCGTGCAGCGCCGGGACCGGGTTCGCGAGCAAGGTCGCGTACGACACGGTCGAGTCGTACAGCTGGCGAGGCTCGTCCACGTGGGTGCGCGCCCAGGGCAGGGCCTCGAGCGGCAACGACGGCGACGGCGCCGAGCCGTCGTCGACGCGAGTCCAGCTCGACGGGACCCACGAGGGCGCGCTCGTCAGCGACGACGCGCCGCCAAAGTGGGCGACGGCCGCCGCGAGGTCAAAGTCCTGCTGCGGGTCGGACGGCGGCGATCCTTGCGGCAGGGCGTCGAGGGCGTGGGGCGGCGTCGGCGGGACGAGGTCGTCGGGAAGAGGGAGCGGGCAGCCGTCCTTCTCGGCGACGAGGGCCTGCAGCTGCTTGATGACCTTTTCGAGGCGCACGATCTCGGCCTGCGTCTCGTGGAGCGAGGGCTGCAACAGGCCGTGCCTGTTGTGCGTGCGCGCGAGAGTGAGTGACGGCCGAGAGGGAAGGGGTCCGAGGGTGACTAGGGAGGACGAGCTGTGGACGCACGTCGGCTTGCTGTCGAGCCAGACACAGTTTTGACCGCGAACCTCGCACGCGATGCAGGGCATGGTCCTCGAGCACTGCGAGGGCGAGATGGGGAGAGAGAGTTCAGCTCGAGGACAGAGGAAAGTGGGAAGGCCCGCTCCAGGAGGGCCGGACGCACCTTCATCTTGCGCCTGCGACACTGCGTGCGAGTGAACGAGTCAGTGTAAGGTTGCAGGTGAACGTAACGCGAGAGGCTGGAGAAGGACTCACCCCCTCGCACGACTGGTGCCGCACGTTGCGGTTGTCGCGCGCACCCGACTTGCGCAGGACGCCTTGCACCTTGGGCATCGTGTCGAGGCGAGATGGGCGATTGGGCGGGGGAGAGCGAGGAGAGCGAGCCGGGGAAGAAGGAGGGCGAGAGCTTCGAGACGACGGCGAGCGGGCGCCGGCGGGGGACGGGCCTCGAGCGCTGTCGTCCGTCGAGGTGGGCGCGAAGTGACCCTGATCGAGCTGCTGCCGAGTGCGGCAGAGATCGAGATAACCCGCAGCGAGAGCGCAGCGTGGTGCGTCGAGCTGCAGCGGCGGCGGCGAGTCGACGACGACCGAGCTCCCGAGACTGTGGGCGCTCGCGGGCCTGCCTCCTCCTCCTCGCCGTCTCGTCCGAATGATCGGTGCGTGACCGTGGGCGGTAGCGCACGTTCGGCCAAGAGCGAACGTCGCGAGCCGGTCGCCGCTCCGAGCAGAGGAGAGCTCGACGACGACGACGAGGAGCTCGGCGCCACGGTGCTCCTTGAGAGCTGGCGACGCGTAAGCTCGACTGCTCCCAGGTCCCGCCCTGTCGAACTGCGCCCCACGAGGTGCGGCGGCGGCGGCTCGCTCGGAAGAAGGAGGGACGGACGTCGCTGCGCTCGCTCCTCGAGACCCCCGCAATGGAAGCACGGCCACGCGGTCACCGGTCGGTGATCGAGTGCAGGTGCCTCACGCTCGAGAGCTGCGCAAGCGCGCCGAGAAGCCGAGCGAGGGCGCCGCCCGGGCGAGATGAGGAGGAGAAGCGCGAGTACAGCTCGAGCGTCGGCACGAGCACGGCGCAGTCGCGCACAGTCAAGCGGTGCAGCTGTGCACCTGACCGCTGCGCAGGCCACAGCGAGTGGGGCGCGTCGAGCGCGATGAGAGAGATTGGCTCGCTCCATCTGCTCTCGCTCCTCGACCGCAAGCCAGGCGAGCTGCTGCTGCTGCTCTCGACCCAGCTCAGCTTGCTGCTCGCACACCGACATGGACCCGCCCGTCGACGCCCCGACACTCGCCTTCCTCTCGCGCCTCCCCCTCGTCCTATCGCCCCGCCCTCGACTGTCGTCCGCCGCCAGCCACCACCTCGCCGCCGCGACGCAGGGCAGCAGCCACCTGGCACCTCGAGGCGGCATCCAGTGTCGAGCGTGTCGCGCACAGCTCGTCGGCGGCATCAACGCGAGCGTGTGGGTCGAGCGCGGCGAGCTCTGGTCGGCGTGCGGCGGATGCGGCGCCGTGTCGAGGCGTGCGAGCGAGGCGGTGGGCCCTGCTGCTCCGGCATTGGCGGCGGCGGCGACGACGATGGGCAAGGGCGCGCTCGAGCCGGTCAAGAAGCGTCGTCGAGTCGCCCTCCAGCGGCGCCTCGAGGCGGTCCACCCGACGGCGCTCGCCTCGACGTCGGCCAGGCCGGCGGCTCCAGCTCGAGGAGCGAGTCCGACTCGCGCTGCTGCTGGCCGAGCGACACGACCCGGGCGAGACGAGCCGGCCTCGAATTGCCGTCCGCCTCCCCCGACGACGACCATGGCCCTCCCTCCTCCGTCGACCTCGACTGCCGCTCCCGCCACCTCTCGTCCGCCTCGACCGAGTCCAGCATCAACTTCCCTCCCTCCTGGGCCGCCTGTCGAGCCGTCGCGGCCCGCCTCGGCCGCTTCCACCTCCCGCTCGACCCCCTCCCTCTCGACTGCCGCCTCTCCCTCCCTCACGTCCACGCCCACGCCCACGTCGGCGCCCACCGCCGCATCCAAGAAGCGCAAGCGGCCAAAGCAGCCATCCGGGCTCGCCGAGCTCCTCGAGGCCAAGAAGAAGCGCGAGCAGGGCGAGAAGGCGGCAGGCGGACTCGGCCTCGCGGGCTTCTTGCAGGGTCTGTAGCTCGCTCTCGGTGCAGCAGAATAGACAGTTCGCGAAACATGATCGCGTTGCGGCTCGTTGCTATCTACAGAGAGCGCTCGACAGCGCTCAGGCGAGGTCCTGGGTGAGGACGTAGCTGCAGGGCGGGCAACGAGGAACTGTCAGTCTCGAGCTCGCCGTCGAGAATGCGAGAAGGAGGAGAGAGAGACGAGAGACGCACCGGTAGCGAACGTCGTTGTTCTTGACGCCCTGGACGCCCTTGCTGACCTGGCTCATCGGGATCATCTCCTTCCAGGCCTTGACGCCCTTCTCGGCGGCGAGGCGGAGCATGGCCTCGGCCTCGATCTTGTTGCCGATGTGGTTGACCGAGATGGACGCGCCGTTGGCCGCGAGCGACTGCGTCTTGAAGGCCTCGATCGGGTCGTCGGGCATGCAGCACAGGTGCAGCTGGCCGTTGACGTACAGCATCGACGTGAGGGTCTCAAGCGGGAGCGCCTTCGAGACGTCGATCGTGCACAGGATGTAGTCGAACGCGAACGCGTACTTCTTCTGCCAGTCCTTCTCGGTCGTGAGGACGACGTCGCTCGCGCCCATCTTCTTGGCGTCCTCGACCTTGTCCTGCTGGTGCGTGAAGACGGTGACCTCGGCGCCCATCGCGACGGCAAACATGACGGCTGCGATGGCGGTGGGCGTCAGTACGTTGCGAGGCACAGACAGAGAGAGAGAGAGAGAGAGAGAGAGGGTTCAGGCTCACCAAAGTGGCCCAGGCCGCCGAGACCAGCGACGCCGACCTTCATGCCCTGCTTGACGCCGAAGCGGTGCATCGGCGAGAAGACCGTGAGGCCGCCGCACGCCATCCTGCGAGAGAAAGTCGTCGGTAAGCGCTCAAACCGAGTTTGGGAAGGTCGATTGACGAGGAGGGGACGCACGGGGCAGCGTCCTCGAGCTCGACGCCCTCAGGAACGCGGAACACAAACTTCTCGGGAGCGCGAATGGCCGTCGAGTAGCCGCCCTGGGTGATCTTGCCGTCCCACGCCGGGGCGTTGTACGTGTCGACCTGGCGGAAGAAAGCGACGTCAGGACGGCTCGAGCGCTCGGAAGGGACGAGTCGAGACGCACCTGCTCGGGGCAGTAGTTCTCCTGGTTGTCGCCGCACTGGCGGCACTTGCCGCACGCGTCGATCTGGGCGCCGACGCAGACACGGTCGCCCTCCTTGAAGTCCTTGACGCCCTTGCCGACCTTGCGCACGATACCGCCGACCTCGTGGCCGCTAACGAGAGGCGTGTTGATGTCGCCCCACCCGCCAGTGATGGTGTGGACGTCCGACCTGTGCGCGAACGGGGCAAAGTCAGCTCGGGAACGGCGACTCGAGGAAGAGGAGGAGGAGGTGGGCGCACGAGCAGATGCCGCAGAACTTGACCTCGATGTCGATCGTGTCGTCGCGCTCGCCCATGGGCCTGCAAGTTCGAGGGCTGTCAGTCGCGGCGCACGAGCTGGCGAGAGTGGGAGGAAGCGGGACGCACTCAAAGTCGCGAACCTCGAACTCGGTCCACTTGGCGGTGTCCTTGATCGAGTAGCCGCGGAACTGAAGGTTGGACATGTCGGTAGATGGAGGTGCAGGGAAAGGGTGCTGTGCGGGAGAGAGAGCGAGCTTCTCGTCGCCGTCGACGACGACGAACGCGCAGTGGAGGCGGGCCGACCGTGACGCACGAGCCGGCCGGTGCGCGCTCGGCCAAAGTGGGCCCCACGAGGCAACGCGCACGCGCGCCGATGCGCGCATGCGCGCATGCTCTCTCCCGTCTCGCGAGCCAGAGACGTCGTCGGCAGAGCTCCTCGGGCTCGACGACAACCTCGCGCAGCGAAGCGGCCGCCTCGGTCTCGACAAGCTTCCGAGGGACAGGCCGGGCGTACGTAGAAACCGTGATCGACCGGGCACACTCTCGACAGCTGGCGGTGCGCGACACTCGAGCCATGTACTGACGAGAGCTAGTTACACACGGGTCCGGGTACTGCAGAGAGAAAGAGAGAGAGATATCCAAGAGAGCGGTCGACCCGTCGACCCCTCCTCGCCGACGCGAAGTTCCTCCTCCCCCTCACCCCGACCGCTGCGACTCGCCCGACTGCTGGCCGTACACCGCGCGTGCACCAGGCGGCAACACCGCTCCACCCTGCGGCCCTCTGCCGTACTCGCCGCCGCCGCCGCCGCCAGTGCCACCGAACGACGGGCCTCGCTGCTGCCCCGACTCGGCCATCGACGAGTGCTGCAGGCCGTGGTGCGAAAAGCTGCTCGGCCGGCGCCCGAACTGCGGCGACTGCAGCTGCACGCCCTGCATCGGCGAGACAGGGATGTCGCCGCCCCAGCCGACGTGCGGCGAGCGAGCGCCGCCGCTGCCGCCTGCGCCGCCGAAGCTCGGGGCGCCAGCAGGGCCCGACGTGCTCCACCGCGGGTGCTGCTCCGTCCTCGGCGACGCTGCGCTCGGGCCGACCGAGCCGTACCCGCTGCCGCCGCGGTGCGTGTAGTTGGGCGGGAGCGGGCCGTCGTCGCTCGGACGGCGTTGGCCGTGCGGCGGCGGCGGCGGCGGCGCGATAGGCGGCTGCTGCGCGTGCTGGTAGAACTCGAGCTGCTGCTCGGCCTCGTCCTGCTCCTCGAGGCGAGCGAGGAGGAGGTCGACGAGCTTCTTGAGCCGGTTGACCTCGTTCGTTGAAGCTTCGAGCTCGTCTTCATCGGCGCTGCCGTTGGGCGCTTGGCCGATCCAGACGCACTTGTCGCCGCGGCTGCGACACGAGAGGCAGGGCGACTGGCGGCTGCACTTCATCTTGCGCACGCGGCAGCTGTTTGCTCGAGAGACTTGTCAGCTTGCTGGGTTGGACTGAGAGGGGGAGAGAGAGAGAGAGGCTTGACGCACTTCTCGCAGCTGAGGTGTCGAACCGAGGCGTTTGAGCGGTTGCGCGAGGTGCCGTCGCCCGAGGGCGCGCCGCGGTCGTCCTCGAGGCCAATCGAGGCGGAGGCGGACGGGCGAGGGAACGGTGCGCCGTCGTCGTTGGTGGCAAACGTCGGCGCGACGGCGATGTCGGTAGGCAGCATGGCTTGCGAGCGCAGCGCTGTCGCTCGACGCGAGGCGGGTGGAGGGAAAGAGGGGAAAGAGAGGAAGCGAGGGGGGAGCGGCGCGCGCGCCACGGACGAGGCGCGAGCGACGGCGGGGCCGCGCACAGGAGAAGTGTGCCCACGCACCCTCTGTTTGCGCACGTTGCGCTCGTGTGCGTCACACGTCGATCGCACGATCGAGGAGGGCCCGGCGGAGGAACGGCCGTAAGGAGACCGGACAAAGTCGGCGCACGCACCTCTTGCAACAAAGGTCCGTCGACCGCCGTCGACCGTTGGCATTCGCGCTCTAGTCATCTGCAGCTTTCCTGGCTTGTTCCCTCTCGCACACGACGGATGCAGCCGGGTGACTGGACGGCAGCTTCTCGGCAAATCGCTACCGCAGCTCTCGACTCGCCTCTCTCCTTGCCTGCCCGCTTGTCGCGCAATTCTCTGACATTGACGTCTCGGGACGTCGCCGAGACTCGGAGCCCCTGTGCAGCCGTCCGTCCGCGGGACTTCCGCGAGCGAGCCGGGGCACCTCTGCTTCCTCGCTCCTCTCATTTCTGCGACCTGCACCTGCTGTCGCTTCTGCTCAGGTACTTTCCCGTGAGCATGGCGTGCGTCTCGACGTCTGTTCTACTCGACACTCGATCCCTGACCCGCAAACTGCGCTCGCAGCGACGTCGCTTTGCCGACCCTCGCCGTCGTCGGAATCACGGTCGCCAGCGTCCTCGGCTTGCAGCTCGTCCTTGTCCTCGTCGGGTACCTCGTCTGGAGGCTCCTCGGGGCCAGGGCAAGGTCGAGCGATCTTCACAAGTCGAGGCCGACGAGCGACGCCGCGCTCGAGCCGGTCAAGTCGCCTGCGAGCGGGCGAGCCAGCTTCTTGGCACGCTGGCTCGGAGCCAATGTCGACAGCCAGGTGTCGTATAGCCCTGTGTTCTCGGGCTCTGCCGGAGCTGGGGCGGGACGAGCGCCACAGCCTGGTCGAGGCAAGTCCTCGAGTTCTGCTTGGCTCGCTCGACGACGGCTCACGAGCTTGCCCTTCCCTCTGCAGATCCTGTCGCCCGCCGATCGAGCTTCCGGCCTCCTCAACATCACGTTCGCCCATCTGCAGGACCGCCTCTACCCGATCACGGCGTCAACGAGTCGCGAGTACCTCGGCCTTCTCAAGTTCAACCTCGTCCTCCTTCTCGACTCGCCTTCTACGCCCCCGCTCGTGCGTCCGCCTTACCTCTCTCATCTCGTTCAAGCAGACATTGACTCGTTCCTCTCCTTGTACAGTCGCCGCAGCTCTCGCCTTCGACAAGCCGGACCGAGGCGAACCTGCGCTCAGGCCGCAAGAGCTGTACGACCCGCCGGCCCTGCCACCCGCCGAGCGTCCCGTTCTGCCGCCGCTGCGTATACCTGCAGCGAGTCGCAATGTATAGCTGAAAAGACCGGGCCTGAACGACGAGAGCAAGAAAGAGAGGCGCAGAGCCGAGCGAAGGACCGAGCGAGCAATCGGCGGGCAGAGAGCTCGCGATCGTCGCGGAGCGAGGTCGATACACTGCATGCGACGAGTGAAGGCTGTCGCTCGACAGGAAGAGTCGCAAGCGAGAGATTCGAGAGGCCGCAAAGTCGTCGAGGCGAGGAAGGAGAGGACTGTGCGCCGTCTCAGCTTTTTGGCCCGCCGAGCGCCCGCAGCAGCTCTCCCGAACATGCGAGGTACTACGGAAACGTGCTGGTCCTTGCGAGACGCAGATCGGCGCCGGGAAGAGGCTGCCTGAGGGCGAGACGAAAACATTACTAAAGTGTGCGGAGCGGACGCACAATGTGGCCCGGCTGATAATCGAAGCATTGGTGGTTTAGTGGCAAAATTGGGCATTGCCAGCCTTTCGCTGAATTGCCTAGCCCCGGGTTCGATTCCCGGCCAATGCATTTTTGCTGGCCACGTTCAGCGCGGTCAGGGAGCAAGTACGAGCCCTGTTTGTCTTTTGCTGCACTTGTAGACTCTCGCAGACCGACAGGGAAGAGCAGCGAGGACGAGACGAGCGGTCGGCGGTCACCAGGAAGCACCTCTCGATCGTCTCTCCTGCGCGACTCGCGATTGGTCTTCCCTGACGCTTCTCTCGCTCGGCGCGGACGCTCCCCGGCTTAGCGTTTTGAGCAGCTTCTGAAGTACGGCTGCGCCGATGCAAATGCTGCGAACCGACGCGAGGCGAGAGAGGAGAAGAAGCAAGTTCCGCTTTCCGACGAGTTCCCGGCGCGCGCTCTCCTCGCAGCGCAACAGGGCGCCTCGCCAGCCATGCAGAGAAAAGTGCTCGAGACGCAGACCGTGGCCGTTTGAACGGCGAGAGGTTGTTGAGACGAGGAGACGCGAGAAGAGCAGGACGAGAATGCGTTGTGCGCGTGTTTGCAAAGTAGACCTTTCCTTGTTCGAACCGGCTGAGAGTTTCGGCCTTCGACTGGTAACCTTTCTGGCCTATTGGCTTAGATCAAGTGTAGTATCTGTTCTTACCAGTGTGATTACTGGTAGATCCCCATCGGGGATCTCATTCAATCACATTAATCTTTAGCCGCCGGCGCGGTCAGTTCTCGGGCTTGCCCTCCTGGCCGCCGCGATGGCCCTTCCACTCCACTCCTGGTTGGCGCTGTCGGGCTTCCTCCGATTGTTCTTTTGCTCCGCTCTCCTCGCTCTCTTTTTGCTGCTCGTCTCGACAGGAGAACGGTTGAGGGGCCGGATCTGCGGACTGCCGCCCTCGCTCTCGGCTCGATTGTCGTAGCTCGGCGCTTTGTCGCGAGCTCTGTAGAAGCAGTGCAACGAGAAGCAGTCGATGAGGGAAAGTGCGCGACCCTCGAGGCGAGCCTTGGCGGATTCGAGGGGAGGCAGGTCGCTTCATCTCGCCCTCCCCTCACGCCGCCCTCTTGCGCCAGGGTCGTGCTGCAGCCCCGACCTGCTCTATACACACGCCGTCTGCGTTCCCCCAGCTCCAGCCCTCGAGACGCCCTCGCCGCTTGGCTCTCCTCCCCCACCGTCGCCAATCGCCTCGTCACCGCTCGCCGCCTCCTCGCCCCTCTGAGCCAACGCCGACCAGCGCAGAGCCTCGCCCGCACCTCGCATGGCCTCTTCCGCGCGCCCCCTCGTCGACCGACAGCGGTCCACCTCGCGCGAGCGCGGCCTCCTCGTCCGACCCACCCTCTCGTCCTCCAACTCGCTGTCGTCCCTCGGCCCGACCTCGCCCATCTCGAGCCCTGTCGGCTCCCCACCGGCCCTACACAGCATCCTCAAGCACCACCCGGCCGAGGACGAGGACGCCCGAGGTCGTGGCGGTGCGCCGCGCGGGGCAGCGCCGGGTGGGGGGACCGTCGAGGGCAGCTTGAGCAGTCTGGCGCTCGGCGGCGTCTCAGCGAGCACGAGCACAACGGCTGTCGATGGGTCGGAGCGCGCGAGCACGGCGGGCGACAGCGAGGCGAGGACGCCGGCGAGTGGGAACGCGGGCGGCAGGGGCACCCAGTTCAAGCGCAGGGTCGGGTTCGACACGTGGGGCGCGGGCGAGGAGCTCGCAGACAAGGCCAAGGCGACGGGAGGCGGTACCGGTCCGTCCTCGCTCACCGTACTCGACCACCTTCTCGCCGCGAGGCTGACCATCCTCGTCCTCGCCCGCAGGTGTCGCTTACTCGTTCACGCTCGCGGCCAAGTCGGCCGACTACTGCCGCACTCGATGGAGCCGCACGTTCCTCGTCGCGACTGACCTCAACGGTGCGCTCTCCTCTCTCTCCTCGCCCTCCCTCATCCTCGTCGAGCACACCCTGACCGTCTCTCTCCGCCCTTTCCCTCTTCCCTCTCATGGTCCTCGGTCTTTCGTCTCGCTCGCAGAGTACTCGGTCAACGCGACCGATTGGCTCTTGCAGTCGTTCGTCGAGGACAGCGACGAGGTCGTCGTCCTGCGCGTCATCGAGCCCGGCTCGTCGGCCCACAACGTCTGGCGGGCGAGCATGGAGGAGGCGCGAGACGAGGCCGAGAAGGTGCTGCACAACCTCATGGAGAAGAACGGCGAGCGGAAACACGTGAGTCGCGCCCCGCCGTCGCCTTCCTCCTCGTCCTTGACGAGAGGCGGGCCGCCCGAGTGACGGCGCGAGACTGACTCGAGCCTCGCCTCGTGCTGCAGATCTCGATCATCGTCGAGTTCGCCATCGGCCCGATAGAGGAGACCATCCACCGGTCCGCCCTCCTCTTCCTCCCTTGGCATCATCCTCGCGAGCCCGCACTGATCCTCGTCCGTTTCCCCCTTCCTCCCGCGCTCCCCTACCCTCGCGACCTTCCCTCACGCAGCATGATCGAGATCTACAAGCCCGACTCGCTTATTGTCGGCACCCGAGGGCGGCCCGACTCGCTCTTCAAGTCGGCGTTCATGGGCTCGATCTCGCGGTGCGTCCCTGCCCCCCCGCCCTTGTCCTGTCCCCCTCCAATTGGCGAGACGACAGTCCTTCTGGGTCAAGCAGTTGACTCACGACTCGCCTCTCCACAGCTGGGCCGTCGCTCGTTCTCCGGTCCCGGTCGTCGTCGTCCGCCCCGACGCCAAGGTCCGCGAGGCGCTCGAGCGCCGCCTGCAGGACCACAAGCGCGGCCGGTCCTACGTCTCGCTCCTCACCGAGGAGGAGCGGCGGCGCTTCCTCCCGCCCGCGACCAACGCCATGTCGACGACGACGACGCGCACGGCCACGTCGTCGACGGCCGGCAGCGCCGGCGGCGGCAGCGGCAGCGGGCTCGGGCCCCTGAGCGGCTCGGCGCTCGAGCGCATCGTGACGGCGCCCGAGGCGCACAAAGCGCGCCGCGAGGACTCGGCGAGCTCGGCAGACAAAGGCTCGAGCAGCGGCGGCGCGAGCAGCGGCGGCGGCGGCATCATGGCGGCGCTCGGCCTCGGCAAAAAGAAGGAGAAGAGCAAGGGCCTCGAGTTCAAGAAATTCGGCACTTTCAGTTGACGGCCGCCGGCGGCGACTGCGCGGCGGGCGAGGCGACGGCGGCGGGTCGCGAGAGCGAGGTCCGAGTGCGCGAGTGGTGCGAGTCGTCTCTTTGGTAGACCAGTGTAGCTCTATTCCTTTCTGCTTTGCAACCTCCTTTCACTCGTCGCAAAGCTGCTCGAGAGCCTGCGCACAGCAAGGGTTGATCGCGCGCCCGCTTTTGAGTCGGACGAGGAGGAGGCGGGGGAGGAGAAAGCGGTCGTGGGTCACCTCGCTCGTCACTCGACACTCGCTGCTGCTTCTCTTGCTCGCAAGCGCACACCGATTGCGCCCAGCATGACACGGACACTACTCAGCGGCCGCGCCCTCGCCGTCCTCGCCCTCATCGCCGTCATCGCCGCCGCCTCCTTCTCGAACGCGAGCCCGGTCGACGCGCTCAAGAGCCTGCCACCGCCAGGGCCGCCAGGGCCCAATGACCCTCCCAACCGGGTGTACGGTCCGTCGCCCCTCTCTCAGGTGGCCGAGAGGGAGAGCCGAGCTGACCTTCTTGGGCGAGGTTGCGCAGACGGCCATGCACGGCTCGCAAGCGCAGTGGGATGGGCCAGCATCGCTTCATGGATCCTTGTGCGTCCCTCACTGTCACCCTGTGCACCTGCACGACCCGCCGCTGACCTTTCTCTCGCCCCTCTCCTCCTCCCCTTCTCCCTTCGCCCTCCTCGTCCCTCTCGTCTACCTCCCTCGCAGGTGTACACTGATCCGGCGCGTCCCTCTTCAACTACGAGAACGGCATGAATGACGGAGAACGGGTTCTAACCGCAGGTCCGTCGATCAGATCGTTCTCTGCTACAAAGAGCAGAGCGGCGAGTCGCTCTCGTTGCTCTTCCTCGCCATCGTGAGTGTTTCCCCTCTTTCGAGCAGACTCGTACCGCGAACTGACTCTCTCTCACCTCGCAGTGGCTCACCGGCGACATCACCAACCTCCTCGGCTCGCTCTGGCAAGGCCTCATCCCGACCGTGATCATCCTCGCCCTGTGCGTCCCTCACCCTTTCCTCGCCTCTTTCGCCCCTTTACTGACTCTCAGCCGCACCCCCGATGCAGGTACTACACGTTCTGCGACGTCATCCTCATCTTCCAGGTCTTCTGTACGTCCTCGCGCCGTCCTCGCTCGACAAAGGTCGGCGCAAGCTGACCCTGGGTTGCGCCGTCGTGCCACAGATTACCGCCGCAAGCGCCGCCTGCACCCCGAGCTTTACGAGTCGCTCGCGACGTCGGACGGTCTCGCCCCGCCCGAGGCCAACGGCGCGCCCTCAATCGCCTCGGAGCAGACGCCGCTCATGTCGTCCTTCTCGGCGCACGCCCCGCTCGAGGCGGCCCTCTCGCCGGCGCTGCAGCACACCAAGGACGTCCTCAGCTACGCCGGCGGCTTCGTCCTCATCCTCGTCGTCGGCGTGGTTGCCTGGTTCGTCAACGCCAAGGCGGCGAGGAAGGGCCGCGTCGAGGAGGTGTGGGACACGAGCGCCCAGGTCGTTGGCTGGATCAGCGCCTTCCTGTACCGTGCGTCCTACTTCCCCTTCTACGTTCTCTCGGGGGTTCTGCACGGCGGGACGACGAGACTGACTCGGCCTCGAGCGCGTCCGCAGTCGGTTCGCGCCTGCCGCAACTCGCCCTCAACCGCAAGACCAAGTGCGCCGGCCTGTCGCTCCTCATGTTCGCCTTCGCCGTCTGCGGCAACGGCACCTACGTTGCAGTGCGTCCCGCCGTTCCTCCCTCTCTCTCGGCCTCTCCTCCTCCTCGCCCTTCCCAAGCTGACTCCCCTCGCGCACACAGTCCATCCTGCTCACGAGCACGTCGCCTCAGCACATCCTCGTCAACGCGCCCTGGCTTCTCGGCTCGGGCGGCACCATCTTCCTCGACTTGGTCGTCCTCGGCCAGTTTGTCGCCTACGCCAAGGAGCGCCGGCTCGAGGCGGCGCAGCAGGGCGTCTTTGCGCGAGACGACGAGTCGGCGCTCGTTGACGACGTCGCCGACGAGGCGTAGAGCGGTTGCGCATGCGCGAGGCGGGCGAGGCGGCGGAGGGTCGGCGTGTCGCGAGCTCGAGTCTGGGGCGGACTTTGCGGCTCGCGCTCGAACCTGGGCTACGCCGCTGTGTAGAAGCGTGCCACGCGGTTGCATTTCGACGTTTAGACATGATGCACGCTGTGCCTCGCCCAAGAGTTCGGCCGACTCGCGAGAGCGAGGCTTGGGAACCGCGGCGGCGAGTGCGGGGTCCGGGCGTTGCTACTGGTTCGCCGCGAGGATCTGCAAGAAACCCTGTCGCCCGCGGTCGGCGCAAAGAGGCCGACCCACTCTCTCGATGGCGTCTCCGCACGAGCGAGCGGCGAGGCGATCCGCTTCATCTCGCTCCGCCCGCCCAAGGTCGGCTCAGATCCCTCTTTCGCCCGCCGCGCTCTGCTTTCTCGCATCACCACCGCCACTGCGGCTCTCGCGCGCACGGCCACAGCCAGCGCTGCATGGACCTCTCGGACTCGGGCCGGGCGCAACTCGCCGCACGCGGGGGAGCCGACGGCGGCGGCAACGGTCAGCTGTCGGGATGGGGAGGGGAGGAGGAGGCGACCGGTGGAGCAGGGTGGACAGGACAGCACGGCTACCAGGTGCGTCCAGGACCAGCTCTCTGTCTGTTTCGCGACGCAGCCCTGCTCACTCCTCCCTCTCGTCGTGAGCAGCCGCCGCTCGAGTTCGTCGACTCGACCTGCGGCGACTACCCGTCCTCGTCGTCGTTCGTGCCTGCAGGCCGCGCAGCGCGATCAAGCTGGATGGGCGCAGCGCCGCCAGCTTCGATGCGCTGGCCCGCGTCGACCTCGACCGGCCTCGCCGACCCTTTCTCGACGAGCCAGCCGCACCCGTCCGACCTCGGCTTCCCTTCCTCCGCCTACGGTCCTCCAGCCCCAGTTCCTCGGCAGCAGCACTACCAGCTCGCCGACTACACGCCGCATGACGCCGTCTACCCGCCGCCCTACACGGCGCAGCAAGCCGGCCTTCCCTTCGCCAACCTCCCTTCTCACCCTCCCTCGGCCTCGTACGACCAGTACCTGCACCCGCCACCGCCTCCAGAACCCGTCTACGACCTATCGTACGCGAGCGAGCTGCGGCGCGCCGCCCCGAAGCGCCGTCGCGAGCAGTCGCACACCGTCGCCGCCGACGCGCCGCCGTTCGCGCTCGCAGCGCCGTCGTTCTACGTCGGCCAGTCGGACGGCACGGGCGCCGTCAGCACACCGACAGCGTACCTGCACGCTGTTACCCCTCACGGCGGCGGCGGCGTCGAGTTCCCGCAGGTCGAGACGTTCGAGCCGGCGCTGCCGCCGAACCTCGAGGCCAACTACGCCGTGTACGCGTCAGACGACGGCGCCGCGCCGCAGCAGAGCATGTGGTACCTCCCCGACCCGCACCAGTACCAGCCTGTGCCCGCCGCCGGCCACCTGTCGCACGTCCCGTGCGAGCACAGCGCGCTGCCGCCCCAGTTTCGCCCGTACGACCCGAGCCTCGCCTCTGTGCGCCGGCACAGCTATGTGCCCAACGGTACGACATCGATGAGCGTTCCCGAGCGCCCGAGCTCGGTTGCGGCGGCGCCATCCCGGCCCGCGGCGGCATCACCTCGAGCTGGGCTCGACCCGTTCTCCCTCGCTCAACTCGGCACGCCCACCTCGATCGCTCCCCTTCCACCTCGCCCGACAACCTTTACCCTCCCTGCCCCTTCCACATCCTCCGCGCCGTCAGCGACAGCCGCGTCGCGGTCCGGGACGTCCACCCCGGCCCGACCCGTCCACGTCCCGCCAGCTCCTCCTGCACCAGCGTCGCCGCCGCCCGAGCGCACGCCCTCGCCCCTCCTCGCGCCCGAGGCGGACGAGGACCTCGCGCAAGTCGTCGCGCTCGCGTCGATTCGGCGCGCCCTGCACGAGACGCTCCCGCCGCCGCTCGCCTGCAAGCCGGCGCGAGGCGCAGGAGCGCACGCCGCCCGCCCAAGTGCGCCGCCCTCGGCGTCGACGTCGCGTCGTACCCGCCCGTCGGCCTTCTCGCGTGCGTCCGACCGCGACGACGAGGCGGTCGAGCGCGACCTGTTGCGCTCGAGCGGCAAGGTCAACCGCAACCAGCAGAAGGAGGTCAGCTCGATCGAGGTCCTCGCGCGTTGCGCAACGTGCACCGTCGTCGACCCGTCGGGCGCCGTCGAGCCGCGCACCCTCGCGCGCCTCGTCCTGCGCGCGCTCCCGCCGCAGCTCGTCAACGCGATCGAGCAGGGCTCGCCGCCGACGAGCGTCGTCCGCGTCGTCCGCGAGCCTGCGAGGCTCGACCTCGGTGCGTCGTGCTGGGCGTGCCTCGGCGCTCGGCAAGGCGAGGCGGGCGTCGTGCGGGCGGGCGCGCAGAGCTACGCCGACGAGGGGACGGTCGCGCGGCAGAGCAAGGTGGCGGTGCGGCAGCGGCAGAAGGGCTACGACGCGACGCTGTCGGCCGCGATCGACAAGCTCGAGCAGCTTGGCCTCGACGGCGCCGAGGCGGGCAGCCCGTCGGCGTCGCCGGGCAGCGCGGCAGGGCTCGGCACGTCGCCGCGGCCGCAGGAGCAGGACGAGGCGGCGGCACGAGCAGAGCACAACTCGCTCCTCCTTTACGAGCCGGCAAAGGCGCCGACCGAGTTCAAGAACAGCTGGCTCCGGTGCGACGTGTGCGACTTTATCTGCGGCGTCGGGTCCGCCGTTCCTGTCGTTCCGGCGCCGCCGCAGCCGCACGGCTTCACCGTCGAGGTTATCTGCGCGAGGTGCTCGGCGCTCTTCCGGTGTTGCTCGGACTGTGGTGGAGGAGGAGGGCGGCTTACGCCCGGACGGTGGAGGTGCAAGGAGCTCTTTCGTGCGTCCTCCTCTTCCTCACTCTCGCCCGGCACCACCTCATCGTCTTACTCACACGTTTCCTCCCCTACAGCCGACGGCCGCAAGACGTGCCAGCTGTCGCACGCGCGCAACCCGGCGCTTGGCGAGGTCACCATGTGCGCCTTCCCAAATCTCTCTTTCCCCCTCATGCGTTCAGGGACTGACATTCTTCGCCCATCGCCTACAGTGAGGTCCTCGCCGTCGCAGACGTTCCTCCTGCCCAGCTCGAGGTGCTCGAGTCGCGCTGTCGCGCCATCTACTTCAACTCGCGCCTTGCCGTCGTCGCCCGACCCGAATTCCTCCTGCGAGGCGACGGCCTCGCTCGGTCGTTCCGCGAGGCAGAAGCCGTCACGGTCGACCACTGGGGCCAGCTGGCTACCATCTTGCGAGAGGTGCGTCCCTCGTCCTCTTACTCGTGGGCGCGCGAGGCTCGAGCGATTTACTGACCCGGTCCTGCCCGCCTGCGACAGCCGCCGCCCGAGGGCAAGAACATCAAGCGCTACATCACGGGCATGTACTCGACGCCTCGCAAGCGGCACCCGAAGCGCGGCAAGGGCAAAGAGCGCGAGCCCGGCCCCGACTCGAGCGTGCGCCCGCCCAACCGGGTCGCTTTCGGCTTCAGCATCACCGAGGTGGACGTGAGGCCCTTCTCTCTCCTCTCGTCTCTCTCTTCTCGCTCTACGACGGTCCTGACCGTCTTCCTGTCCCGCAGTTCGACCTTGGCACCGTCTTTGTGCGTCCCTCTCTCCTCGAGTCTACCCTGCCCTGCGAGACTGACCACCTTTTCGCCCTGCAGTTCTGCTGCGTCATGCCGTGGCCCGTCAACGGTCAAGCGTTCGACGCGACGACGATCCTCGGCGAGGCCATCACGCAGCGCGTCAAGGCCGACCGCGTCGTCCTGAACCAGCAGCGCGCGCTCGCCAACCCTCCTCTCCCTCCCTTTCCGCCCGCCACCTACAACTACATCGCGTCGCCGTTCCGGGTCGGTAGCCGGGCCAACGCGAGCCTCGCGCGGCGCGGCTTCGAGACGGTCGAGGAGCTCACGGCGCGAGATCCGCACGTCCGCCCCGAGTGGTTCAAGGTCGGCTGGCTGCCGGACAAGTGTGCGTCCTCGTCTCTCTCTACCTCTTTCCTTCTCTCTCTCTCTCGACCCTGACGACCTTGCTCTCGCGCAGACGCTGCGGCCTTGACCATCTTCATCCGCCGCCTCGAGTCCGAGGAGGACCTCGGCGGCCCACCGACCGAGAACGCGCCGCGCAAGCGCACCCGCAAGTCGCTCGCGTCCACCACGACCTCGTCCGAGTCGCCGTCGACGTCGAGCAGGTCGGCCGAGCCGCCGTCGCGGGCCGAGGGCTCGCCGTTTGCCGCGCCGGGCGGGTACGGCTACCCGCTCGGACCGCCTTACGCCGGCGTCCAGGCGCACTACGCCGCCGGTCCTCCTTCCTCTCTGTCGACGTTTGGTGCACCATAGACACTTGCAATGCAGCGCTCGCCGGAACGAGCCGTCTTTTCGCAGCTCGAGGCCTCTTGTCGTGGCGTCTCTCTTTCTCTCTCTCTCGCGAGCGCGCGACGGTCGAGAGCAACAGAGAAATCTCTCGAGAGAACGACAATGCTCGTCGCAAGAAGGCTACCTCCCCCCTCTCGCCTCGTCCCTCGCCGCCCACTCGCCGACGACGCCGAGCACGCTCGTCAAGTTGTGCTCGCCAAACACGTCCTCGTCGCGCCTCGGGGCGCGCGCGCGGTGCGCGAGCTGGTCGACCGAGCGCGTGAAGGCGAGGGCGCGGTGCAGCGAGAGGAGAGAGGGCCCGGTCGAGGTTGGAGGGTCGGCCGAGGAGGGGGAGGAGAGGGAGGACGGGAGCGAGGGGATCATGGCGAGAGTGTGCTGCGGGCGCGAGGAACGTGTCAGGCGCACTCTCACACTGATGAGGGACACGAACTCGATGTGGAAGAAGAGGGGCGAGGCGGGAGGAAGGACGCACCTTGACGACCTCGAACGCGGCCTGCGCCGTCTGCTCGACCTGCTCTCGCTCCGAAAGTTGCGCGCTCGGACGGTGCCGCTGCTGTGTCGCGCTCGAGTACTGGTCGCTCACGTGTGGGCTGTCGCAGGTGAGCAGCGTGAGTCGGGCACCCGCTAGAGAGGGCGAATGAGAGAAGAGGCCCGAGCGACGCACCTCGGGTCGGGCGCCTCGCGCAGCTGCTGACGACGTCGGTGATGGCGTGCAGCTCGTTCTGGAGGTAGGCGATGTAGTCCTGCGCGTCGCGGAGCTCTTGCACGAGCTGCGGGCGAGAGAGCCGGATCAGAATTCGGGCGAGATCATGAGGCAAACGGCGGGCGCACCTGCAGGTTGACGTCTTGCGTATGCGAGTCGTCGTCTCGAGCATAGTCCTGCTGATGCTGCTGAAGTGGCGGAGCGGAGGAAGGAGGTGCGTGTGCGGCAGGGTCGGCAAAGGTCGAGGCGGTCGCGCTCCCTGGCGGCGAGGGGATGTTGCGCATGCGCGAGGCGGGCCGGCCGGGCGACGAGTGGTGCGAGACGATCGTGTCGAACTCCTTGAGGGCCTTCAGTCGACGGGTAAGGGAGAGTGAGCCTCGCGGGAGAGACGAGGGAGAGAAAGAAGAAGCGAAAGTTGGGCGCACCGCTTCTGCCACGCGCGTGATCGAGTCGACCGACGCGACCGTCTCCTCGTACGACCCATCGACCGCCGCACCCGTCCTCTCGAGTCCCGAGTCGTCGCCGTACGCGCGCTCCTTGCCCTTGACGAGCCCGCTCGCGTCGAGCGCGCTCGCGCTGCTGCGGTCCGCCTCGCTCCTGCGCAGCGCGGCGACGCTGCCCGGTCTCGGGCTCGGCGAGTCGGGGAGCCCGCCGTCGCCGACGAGGGTGCCGCGCGAGGCGCTGAAGCCGTTGGCGCGCTGAAGGAGCTCGACGGCGCTGGGTGCGCGGCCGGAGAGGGGAGGGCGGATGGAGCGGGTCGAGGGAGGGGCGAGGGGCGAGGCGACGGTGTCTGAGATGACCGTGTCGCTGGATGGGTAGGGTGCGGGTCGAGAGGAGGAAGCTGAGGGGCGAGGAGCGGACGAGGCGTGCTTGCGGACGGTGGACGGGGCGGGAGGAGGGCGGCGCGAGGTCGACGGCTGGCTCGCTGTCGGCGGTGGCGGGGTCGACATGGCGATGGAGCGCGACAGGTTCAAGTTGCGGTGCGCCGAGTCCCACGTCTCGTCGTGCCCGTCGCCGTCGCCGTCGTCGTCGCCATCGAGCAAGTCGAGGAGCTTGTCGAGGTTGCTCAGCTGGCGCAAGTCGGCGTCGGCGCCTCGGTCGTCGTGCGGGTCGCTCGTGCTGCGCGTCGTGACGCTCCACCGACCGGGGCTGGTGGCGGTGGACCTGCGCGAGAGCGGGGTGTCGCCTCGAGGATGGCGCACGCGCGGGGACGAGGCGGCGTTGGACGAGTGGTCGTCGCGGTACGTGTCGGTCAGGTCGGGGTCCGACAAGGCGAGGTGCACAGTGTCGGGCCGTGGTCGTGGACTGAACGACATGGTCGACCGAGCGCGAGAGCGAGAGCGAGAGCGAGAAACAGTCGCGTGCGAGCGCCGCGCCCAAGTCGAGCGAGGCGGTGCAACTTGCTGGCTGGCCTTTCGAGCGCGGCAAGGACAGTCCTGCACTGCAGCTCTCAACCCAGGGTACTCGACAAGCAGAAACGGGCCGGCCGCTCGACGCAAAAGTGTCCTCGTTGCAAGCTCGCTCCTCCTCGCCGTCCTCCTCGCCTCGCTCCGCCGCCGCTACGGCTCCATGACGCCGCTCAGGTCGTCCATCGCGAACAGCATGCCCGTCTCCTGACCGTCCCGCCTGCTGCGCCACCGACCGGGTACGGGAGGCGTCGGCGAGTCGGGGTGCGTTGAGTCGAGGACGACGGCGGCGTAGCTCGGGTGGACGACGATGGTCGGAACGACGGCGCCGAGAGACGCGCGGTCGAAAGCGGCGACCGGCGCGGCGGCGGTGGCGCCGACGAGCGCGCGCGGCGGGTCCGTCGCCGCCGAGTCCTCCCCGCTCGCGTCGCCCGTCCCGCCCTCTCCCTCGTCCTGCTCCCACCCCTCGCCCTCGCTCACCTCGCCGTCGCCCCATGCCCACTCAGGCACCACCCCGACCCCCGCCCCTCTGAGCGCCAGCTCCCGCTCGACGAGCTCGGCCGCCTGCGCGCGACTGAGGCCGACGCACCCGAGGCCCATGCGCTCGTGCACGACGAGGACGTCGTCGCCGTCGTCGATCAGGGGGAAGTCGAGCGAGTCGGCGAGGTGCAGCGTCGACGGGTCGTGCAGATGCGAGAGGTGGCCGTAGGGCTGCGGGCTGTCGCGAGGCGGAGCGGGCGAGGGCGCGGTCGAATGGGCGAGGATGGGCGACGGCAATGCGAGACCAGACGCAGCAGCGCCGAGCTGGTCGTCGTCGACGTGTGCGGCGTACTGGTCGGCGTAGGCTTGCGCAGAAAGTCGAGGGCCGAAGGCCGAGTCGTGCGTCGAGCTGGAGAAGGAGAGCATCTCGTGCTCGTCTTGGCCGTGCTGCGGCTTCTGCGGCTGTTGGACGATGGCGTGCTGGTCGAACGAGTCGTCGGCATCGTCGTGGTGGAAGACGAACGGCGTCTGCTGGCGGGGAGGCGAGGGCGAGCCTTGCGGTCGAGTTGCCCTGGGCCCGACGGGCGACGCGGTCCGAAAGCGTGCTGCGGCCGATGCTGCGTCGAGCGACGTCGTCCGCGACAGGAGGAACGAAGGCGGTGTCGACCGCGGCAGGTCGGCGAGACCGGCGGACGAGACGTCGTCGTTGTCGCCGTGCAGGATCGACGAGCCGCGCAGGATGGTCGGTGCGACCTCGTCGCGGCGGGTCCAAGCGTGCGGGTCGGGCAGTCGCGAAGGGAGGCGAGGTTGCGACGTTGTCGGAGGTGTGGGTTTGCTGAAAGGGAGGAACGCGGGCTGAGGGCGCGGGATCGACTGCAGCCCGACCCAGTCGGGGTCGGCGAGAAGCTGTCGGCGCAGGAAGGTGGAGCCGACCGCCGCTGTTGCGGCTCGCCAAGCGTCGTCAGGAGACATCCGTGACATGATCGGGGCGGAACGCGAAGGGAGGGACGCACTGTCCGTGGCCGGCGCCGCCGTCGTCGTCCACCTCGACTCGCCCCCTCCCCACCGCGACTCGCCGCCTGCCCGCCTCGTCCCGCTCGCCGAGGGCGCCGCCTTCAAGCCGCCGTCGTCCTGCTTGTCGCGGAGGAAGGCAAAGTCGAACGTCGGCGCCGCGAGCGGGTGGCCCTTTCTGCGAGCGCCGAGATGGTGCGCGGCCGAGTGGTGGGCGAGGAGCGGGCCGGGCCGGGCGTGGTAGGCCTGCTTGGCGACGGCGGTGTACGCAGGTGTGTCCGTGACGTCCTGGCGGCTGCGCACACGTGTGCTCGAGGGTCAGGGTGACTCGTGGGGGTGGGAGGACGCACACGCGCCGCTTGGCCTTCCTGTGGCCGACGAGACCGCCGCCCGTGTAGTTGGCCGTCATAGTGCGCGGACCTGGCGGCTGGCCGAGCAGGGCGGGGCGAGCGAGGCGCAGCGGTGGAGGAGAGAGTTGGACGAGCCCGAGAGATCCGACTTGTACCTCGTCGACGACGCTGCCAGCTTAGGCTGAGCCTCGCTATGGCCCAGGCCAGCTTCCTTGTACGCCGTGACTCGCTCCCGGCATCCGCGCTGCGCCAGTCGAGGTCGTCATCGTCTCCTCGACCCTCTCACCTCGCGACTGATGAGTCGACTCGCCACACACGCCTCAGGGACGGCGTCTGACAGCACCAAGATCGGAATTCGCACCGTCTGAGCTCGGCTCAGCAACGGCGAGCGGCCTCGAGCAATCCCCGTTGACCTCGTGGTCGCTTCATCCCACGCTCCGTCGTACCGGTGCGTCCTCTCGCCCTCCCCCTTCTCTGTAACGTCTGAAATCCGGCGGACTGACTCTATATCCTCGCAGACTTGTCTGAACCCTGAGCCCTTCCGTGGCGTTGCAGGCGCGCTCACTATGGCCCCCTCGTTCGTTCGACCTCCATGCCCGCGACGACCTGTGCGCGCTCCAGGTACGTCGCTCTCCCCCTCGTCCCTCTCCTCTCTTTCCGATCACGCAGACGTGCCAGGCTCTGACTCGGGTATCGTTCGCCTCGCCCCACAGATCAGGCTCGGCATGGCTAGTCGGTCGCCGACGAGTGCGAGCTCGTTCAGCCGCGCAAGAGCGAGTCGCCAGCCGCCGACAGCGTCGTCGATACGTGCATCGCCAGTCTCGTCGTGCTCGACTCGGGCAAAGCTGTCTGGCCGGCCCGCAGAGGAGTCTCGCCGCAGCCTTTGCGAGCTGTGCGTCCTCCTCCTCCTCTCTGTTCCCCTCGCCCGCCAGTCACAGACCTGACCCGCCCTCTTCCTCGCGTACACAGACTTCTTCGAGCGACCAACCTCCTCCTGCACCAATCGCGAGACGCGGTCGGCCTCCTTGTCCCTCTTCCGTCGCCCCCTACTTCCCTTGCCTTCGCACACGCTCTTTCTCTCCTTTCCTCACTCTCGCCGTGCAATGCGACTACGATACGATCACCTTGTCGCGCATGTGCCCACTGCTGCTCGCTTGCGCTCGCCGTTGTGCTCTTTGTCGTTGCGAGAGCGAGCTGCGTCAAGTTTGAGCAGGACGGCCCGAGTCCGAGAGAGGCGGCGTCTGGACAAGCTCGAGCGCGTTGGAGAGCACTCGTCCAGTCTCTGATACGCGCTCGACGAGCCGTGCGGGACGAAGCGAGGAGCCCGAATGGCCCGCTCGGACCTGTCCGGAGAGACGCTTTCTGGCAACCGCCGACCGCACGTCTCGTCCTCAGCTGCTCTTCTCTGTCGCTGTACGAGTGCAGGAAAAGACGAGCAGGGCTCGTACTTGCCCCCTGGGCGCACAAACGAGAGCAGCAAAAATGCATTGGCCGGGAATCGAACCCGGGGCTAGGCAATTCAGCGAGAAGCTGGCAATGCCCAATTTTGCCACTAAACCACCAATGCTTCGATTGTCGGCCCGACCAGTTTAAACGTCCGAGTAGCACGCGCTGCTATTGTTTTCGTCTCGCCCTCAGGCAGCCTCCTCCCGGTCACGCTCTGCGTCTCGCAAGGTCCAGCACGTTTCTGTAGTCTCTCACATGCTCGGGAGAGCTGCTGCGGGCCCTCGGCGGGCCGGAAAGCCGAGGCGGCGCACAGTCCGCTCGTCCTCTCCTCAACGACTGTGCGCCATTCCTGGCCCTCTCGCTCGCGACTCTCCTTTCGAGCGACACCTTCCACTCGTCGTATGCAGTGCTTCGACCTCGCTCCGCAACGCCCGTGAGCTCGTCGTGCCGAGTAAACTGCCCGCTCGGACCTTCCCTCGACTGCGGCTTCCTTTTGCTCGAGCTTGGCTCAAGCTCGCTCCAGGCTCAGTCTCTCGTGCACTGTGACGGGCGACGACGAGAAGGACGACCGCGCTGAGAAGCCCAAAGCTGCGTTCCAGGGTCCAAGCGCTCCCTCGTCTCGCTCCTCGTGCTCGACAAGCTGCTATCCTCCCTCGCCCTCCTTCGCCCCTCGCCGGCCGCAAGCTCTCTCGACCCGCTCCTCACAGGTCGCCCCTGAGGTAGCCGCCGTGCGGCAGGGCCTCGGAGCTGTCGAGCGCGTTGAGCTTGGCGTCGGCGGGCGACTTGGGCTGCGGCGACGACGAAGGAAGGAAGGTCAGTAGATGGTTTTCCCGCTTCTGGCACACCCGAGGGGTCGAGTCGACGGCGCTCGAGGCGACCGAGCCGACGCAGCACGGCGAGACGAGGACGACCGAGTAAGAGGAACGAGCGCGACGCACGTCTTTGAGGATGTTGTCGGCCCTCAGGCGTTGGTCGTCGGGCTGGCCCTCGTAGTGGTGGACTTCGTCGTGCTTGAGCTGCGAGTCGGGGGAGAGAGGGTCAGCCTGTCGTGCAAGGGAGACGAGTCGGGCCGAGAGAGAGAGAAAAGACGGGCGAGCGCACCTTTTCCGCCGCAGCGAGGGCGTCCTCCTTGTGCATCGCGACGCAGTCGACACGCTGTGTGTGGATAGAAGGGGTCGGCTAGGCTCTGCACTCGAAGCGAGGGAAGGCGCTCGTCCGAGGGCGCCCTCGAGAGAAAGACAGGGGGCGAAGTGACGCACAGGAGGTGCCCTCGCGTCGCTCTTGCCGTGGTAGTGGTGGTGGCCGGTCTTGGTGGTGCTGTACTCCTGCTGGCAAGGTGCGTCGAGGCGTCGACGGTAGGCTGGGTCAGCGAGGTGAGGAGGCGAGAGAGGCGAGTGAGACGAGGGACGCACAGCGGCAGTCTGGCCCTCGGTTGTGTGCGCGGTGGACGACATGGGTGCTTGAGAGTGTGCGGACGTCGTATAAGGGCTCGCGTCGGCGAGTGCGAGAGCAAGCGAGTGAGGGGAAGGAGGGAAAGAAGCGGAAAGCGCTCGAGAAAGACTCGAGGTCGAGTTGCAGGTCGACCTTCCGAGCGGCGCAATCTGCTGGGCAGTTTCGAGGCTCTTCCGAGTCCTCGCCCAGGGAAGCACGCTCTTCGGAGTGGCCGAGGCGAGCACGAGCGCTCGAGCGAGCGGAAACGCAGGTCAAAGCGCGACGGGCGTCGCTGCTCGGCGGAGCGAGCGTCTTCTGACGAGCGAGGGCGCTCGGTCTAGTCTGAACGCTGCGCGTGAGGCGGCGAGCACTGCTGTATTCAAGCAGAATCCGCGACGACGCCGTCGCGCCGTCGACGAACGAGTCGGGGACGAGGTACGAGCCCTCTTCTCGCGCTCGCTTCGACATGCGCAGAGGCGGACATCCCGAGCTGTTACGTCGCGACTGCTGTCGAGTAGCGACGGAGCTGTTGTCCCGGTGGTGGACCGTGCACGCGAGCTTCGGCGCGTGTCCGCGGACTTTGCGAGCCCACCTCGCCTCTCGCCTTTGCTGCGCTCGAGAACCGCTCACGAGCTCGAGTCGACTCTCAAACGGCTAGCCGCAGACGCAGAGGCGACCGCAAAAGTGGGTCGACAGTTGGCCGCGGTGCCGGTCGACCCTCGTCATCAGGCCGCCCGCCCTCTCACGCTTCTCCCACCTCAACCACCCTGCAGAACCACCATGAGCGACACGACCGAGCCTTCCAAGGTACGTGCGCTCTCTCTGCACCTCTACCGAGGCGTCACTAACCCTCTCCTTCGTCTCTCACCTCCCCCTCCTCCTGCTCCCCCACCTCCTTCCGGCCCGCCCTTCACCCTCGCTCTCGACACGGTCGCCGCCTTGCGCCACGTCTTCGCAGACCACCGGCAACTACGACTACGCCGTCGGCTCGATCAAGGAGACGATCGGCAACGTCGTCGGCGCCGAGTCGCTCGCGCAGGCCGGCTCGGAGCAGGCGGCCAAGGGCGACGCCGAGTACAAGCTCGCGCAGACCCAGGAGTACGCCGAGGGCACGGCCGACAGGGTGGGCGGCAAGATTGACCGCATCATTGGCGCGGCGACGGGCGACTCGAGCCGCGAGGCCGGAGGGCTGGCGCAGGAGACCAAGGGCAAGGCGCAGCAGGGTGCGTCCCCTCTTCCCCTCGTACCTCTATCCTGTCCGACGAGTCTGAACTGACCCTCTTCTCTCCCGCAGCCGCCAACTCGTGATCGTCGTCGTCGCCCTCTCCTTCCTTCGTGCCCTCGCCGCAGTCGCATGTTGTCCTGAAACACGCTGTCTCTCGCCGTACCTCGCCCTTGCACTCTCTGGGAGACGCGAGAGACGCGAGAGACGAGAGAGTACTGCTTTGCAAATCGAGAATCGCGCTCGCCGCCGCCTCGCTCAGGCCAGCTCGCGGTGCTGCACCTCGGCCTTGTCCTTCTCCTCGCTCGGGTGATAGTGCTGGAGCGCGACACGGTGCACCTTCTGGCGCAGCACGTACTTTCGGAACCAGTACGCGGGCGAGTCGAGGCCGTACCGGGCTTGGCGCGCCGTGCTCATCGAGAAGACGTCGTCGAGCTCCTCGAGGGTCTGCAGGGCGTGCGAGAGTTCGTTAGGGGGGCCCGTCGACGTCGAGAGCGCGCAGAGAGTGCACGAGGAGAGAAAAAGGAAGACTCACAAAGCCCTTGGTCTCGGGGCAGAAGCAGAGAACGAGGACCCAGAGGATGGCGTTCCACCCGCCGAACCAGGCGAACGCGCCGAACGACGTCCACTTGCGCAGTTGCAGAGGGAAGACGAGCGCGTTGATGAAGTTGAAGAACCAGGTGAGCGCCGTCGCCCAGGCCATGCCGAGCTCGCGGACTTGGAGCGGGTACACCTCGGCGCTGTAGGTGAATGGAACCGGCCCTGCGCCGGGCCCGTAGAAGGCGGCGAACAGGTAGATGCCTGGGTGACACGGGGAGAGTCAGGACGCGGCGCAAGAGAGCGCAGAACGCGGCGCGAGAGCGAGAGGAGGAGGGGACGAGCTGACGCTCCGAGGGGCGCAGCTTTGAGGGACGCACCGGTCGTGACCATGGCGAGCTGGCCCGTGGTTGACGGAATGTAGAAGCCGGCGCCGGCGACGAACATGAAGAGCTGTATGGACCGAGACTGTCAGAGAAAGGCGAGGGCGCAAGAGAGGCGAGAGAGGAGGACGCACCGACAGGAACGGCAGCGTGAAGAGGAGCAGCGCTCGACGACCGGCGACGTCGATCGTGATGAACGCCGGGAAGCTGAACACCCAGTTGATGAGGCCGTACCCGCAGGACGCCAAGAGTGCGACGGTCCGGGACTGGCCAGCGTTAAGGAATATGTTGCTAGACCAATACGCTATGGCGTTGATGCCGCAAAACTGTTGCATAAACCTGCAGCGGCGAGGGAGGAGGATGGAGGAGAGGGGGAGGGAGGAGAATGGAGGAGGTGGGGAGGAAGAGATGTCAGCCAGGATCTCGAGGCAGCCTCGCCGGCCGTGACCGCTCTACATGCTCCGAGAGTACGACTGAGAGAGAGAGAGAGAGCCGTGCGAGGGCGACGCACATGACGATGCTCGACGCGAGGAGGGCTCGGCGAATGCGAGGAACCTTGATCATCTCGACGACCTGGCTGCGGCTGCGGTTCCGAGCCAGTTCCTCCTCGACCTCGATGCACTTGCTCGTGTAGTACAGGTCGATGGCGGCCTGCAGCGGCGTGCTGCGGAACTTGAGGAGCGCCTCGAACGCCTTGCGGTGTCGGCCCTTGCCGATGAGCCAGCGCGGCGACTCGGGGACGAAGTAGACCTGCAGACACACGAACACGGCCGGGAGGCAGGCTCTGTATGTGTCGCGAGCGAGGGGAGGGCAGGGGAAGGAAAGACGAGGTCAGTGCGTCGACCTTCCCAAGTCGCACAGGCCGGTCGAGGGGGAGGACGTACGAGCCGAGCATGAGGCGCCAGTTCAGGCCAGTGATGCCGGGCTTGTCGGGGACGTTCTGGAAGATGAGAGACGAAACCGTGCCGAGGCAGATGCCTGTAGAAAAGGGAGAGAGTCAGTCGGCGAGGACGAATATGTGCTCGAGGCGACGACGATGCGCCTCGACATGGCGCTCCTGCGCGACCAACGCTCGCTACGTCGCACGAGGGTGACGAAGGAGAGGCAGGACGCACCGAAAGCCGTCCAGGTCTGCCACTGCATGGCGAGGAAGCCGCGAATCCTCGCCGGCGCAATCTCGCTCGCAAAGACCGGAACAGTCGCGCTCTTTGGCCCGATGCCGATGCCGAGAAACAACCGCGAGATGAAGAGGTGCCACCAGGTGTCGGTGACCGCACCCTGCGCGAGAGCGAGGGGTCAGTTCTGGCTCGAGGGACACGTCCGTGCACGCGCGAGCGCGGAACGAGCGCGAGACTAGGGACGTACCCAGATGCAGCCGAGGCCGGCGCACAGAGTCGAGATGAAGATGGCGCCGCGACGGCCGAAGTACTTGTTGAGCGGGTACCTGTGCCGCGAGGAGAGGAGGAGGGTCAGGGACAGGCTCGGCAGGGCGCAGACCCGGCTGACGAGGCACGCCGCCGAGGGAAGAGGGGGGTTGGAGAGGAAAGATTAGACGCACGTGAGCCAGCAGGAGAAGACGGCCGAGCAGAGGTAGGGCGCCGAAGCCGTGAGGCCGAGGAGGAGGGTGTCACGGGTCGAGTCGCTGCCGATGCCAAACTGCTCCGGGTAAAACAGGTTTGCGCCATTGATTACCGTCTCGTCCATGCCTTGAACGACAGCAGCCATCGAGCACATGAAGACCGTCCAGTAGAGCGTCTTGGGCTGGCGGTAGGGATGAAGCTGCGAGAGTCCGAGGCGCGTGAGCGACTCGTCGAGGACGATACGAGAGCGGGAGACGCACCTTCTCGTTGCGCAAGACGTCCTTGTCCTCCTCGGTGAGGCCCGACAGCTGCTCGAAGTTGTCGCGGTCGCGGCCGACGAGCGCCGCCTTGAACAGGAGCTCGCGCTCGTCCTCGAGGCCGGTGCGCTTGACCCACTCGTCGACGTCATGGCGCAGCTGCTCGTCCGTCTTTCCCCTGTTGACGGAAGAGGGCGGTCAGAGATGCGGCGAGGGAGCGACGCCGAGAGGGAAAGGAGGACGACGCACGCGAGCGGGTTGCTGAGGAGCGCATCGACCTCCTTCTGCTTCTTGATGTCGGTAGCCTCGCCGACGACTGTGTCGGAGGCGTGTGAGAGGGAGCGTCGGGGCTTCTCGTCGATGCCCATGGCGGTGGATGCTGTTTCGAGTCGAGGAGAGGGAGAGGAGGAAGAGCGCGTCAGGGTCGAGCGCAAGCCGACGTGGGGGGCTAGAGAGGTCGAGTGCATCGCGCGGCCGCACCAGAGAGCTAAACGCGGCTCCATCGTCGGGCCCTTGACTCTCGGCCGGAGAGTGACGCTCGAGGTGGAGGCCGAACCTCCCAAGAAGGGCGGGCGCGCGCCTCTGAGCGTGAGAAAGGGAGAGCTCCTGCTCGGTGACGGACGGATAGGCAGGTGGGGTCCCTCTCGAGCGCGCACGAGACGACGGCGGCGCAGCGAGGGGCGGATGCAGCTGGTGGGCGACCGCGGATGCGCGAGCATCGTCTCGAGCGCACAGGCTGGGGCACGAGCACAGTCGCGGCGCTACAAGCTCGATGTCGTGCTCCTTCAGAGCCCGGAACTCGGCGCAGGTAGCCCTCGACAGCGGAGGAGGCGCGACAGGACGACGGCGAGGCCGGTCGCCTCGCGCGAGGGAAGGGAAGGCCGGCCGCCCTCGGCAGCAGCAGCAGCAGCAGGGCAGGCTGCGAGACGTCGGCCCTCGTAGCTCGAGGCTGAAGCTGAAGCCATCGAGTTCTGCGCGAGTGCGTGGGTGAGCGTGCCGGTCGAGGAGGAGAGGGAGGAGAGGGAGAGGAGACGAGCGGACTCACCCGCTCGCGGCCGCAGAGATCCGCTCGAGCCAGCTTGGTAGCAGCGCATGTCGAGTAGGAGCTGGGTCTGGGGCTCAGAAGCAGGCCAGCTGGCCTGTGAGACGAGCGAGCCGAACTGCAGCTCGATGAAGGTCGGGGGATAGTGACGGCTCACGTCGCCCGTGTGCGTTCGGGACGAGGCCGAGGGTACTCGCAGGGGCAGTCTGGGAAGACACACGGCTACACTACAGGCCATGAACGGCGAGAGGGGAGCTGTGCGAGGCGAGTACTGCGAGGCGAGTTGGCGCCTGTGGTCCTCGCGCGACGAGCTCGTCGCTCTCCCTCCGGACTTCCTTCTCGATCTCCCGCGCAGCTATCATGTCGACCGGAAAGGGTGCGTCCCACCCACCTCCATCGCAAGCCCAACCCGCTGACTCGCCCTGCCCCCCTCTCGCCGACACCTCGCCGCCGTCGCCTCCCCCGCCTCGCCTCCATTTTCTCGCCTCGACCCCTCGACCTCGACCCCCTGCACCTCGCGCCGCTCCCCCGTGTGCGCCACCGACCTCGCCAACCCGCCAAATCCGCCACCATGACCACCGCGACCCGCCCAACAGCTGCCGCTAAGCCGCAGGACGTCAAGGCCAAGGTGCGCCTCGCGCTCCCCTCGCCTCGCCGGAGGGACTCGTCGCGGTGGAACGGCCCGAGGGTGGCTCGGTTCAGCTTGGAGGGTTAGGAGCAGTCAGAGAGGGTTTGGCGGGGCAGGCGGGCACGGTGGACTCGCGCGTACTGACGCCGTCGTGCTGCTCCTCCGTCCGCAGGCGGCCAAGAAGGCTGCCCTCAAGGGCACCCAGGCGACGGCCCTCAAGAAGGTCCGCCACTCGGTCACCTTCCACCGGTGCGTCCCCTCGGTCCCTCTTGCCGGTCGCGAGCCGAGAGCGGTCGCGCGAGCCGTCGTCGCCGTCCAGTGGCACGAGCTGACTGTGTTGCCTCTCGTCCCTCTCTCCCTGCCACTCCCCTTGCGCCCGACTCGAACCGCCCACACGACTCGTCCTCGCACCTGTGCGACACTCGCACGCCCGCCCTCGACTGCCGCCGTCGCCGCGACCTCGCCTCGACCCGACCCTGCTCTCGCACCGCCTCCCCTCGCTCGCCGGCCCGCTCGCCCCGCGACTGCGCCCACCCGCCTGCACCTGAACTGCCGCACACGATGCGCCGTCGCCTCGCAGCCCCAAGACCCTCGCCCTCCCCCGTGCGCCCAAGTACCAGCGCAAGGCGGTCGCGTCGCTGCCGCGCATGGACGCGTACCGCACGATCGTGCACCCGCTCAACACCGAGTCGGCCATGAAGAAGATCGAGGAGCACAACACGCTCGTCTTCATCGTCGACGTCAAGTCGAACAAGCGCCAGATCAAGGAGGCGGTCAAGAAGCTGTACGACGTCAAGGCGCTCAAGATCAACACCCTGATCCGGTGCGTCGAGGACTCGACGGCCGAGCTGCGGCTGTCGGTGATCTCGTGTCGAACGTCGTCAGACTAACGCCTCGCGCGCCCCACTTGCAGCCCCGACGGCCGGAAGAAGGCGTTTGTTCGCCTGGAGGCGGACGTCGATGCGCTCGACATTGCCAACAAGGTGCGTCTCTCGTCTCTTTCTCTCGTCGTGGACGTCGTCGCAGCAGGACTCGCCAACTGACGAGGGGTGCGTGCGTGTTTTGCAGATCGGCTTCATCTAAACGACTCTCGCCTCGCCCGCGGTTGTCTGTTTGCGTGGAATCGGAGCCTTGTGCGCTGGGCATGGTCGTCTGTCCGTCACGAGAGAGAGAGAGAGCACATCGAGAAACGAGGCTCGCGAGAGGTGGACCAGGGACGGGCGACCGCTGAGGAAAAGGCAAGGCCGACTTGGCCGCCTCGAGAGTGGCCAACTCGCGTTGGCCAGCTGTGTCGCGTTCCGACGTCGCTGTGCGTGCCCAGGTTGTGCGGCAGACTACTCGCCAGTCGACTGTCGACCGTCAGCCCCGAGCGCAGGCCTGCCAGGTTGCGTGGCAGAAACCCCTCGCCGCCTCACTCAGCCTCTCATCGTCGCGCTCGCCGCCTCGTCGCTCTCGACACACCACTCGACCCTCGACCCGCACGCTCAAGGTCCCCTCGAGTCCAGGACGCGCACCAGGTCCGCCCCCTCCCCCTCGCTCTCTCTCTCTCTCTCTCTCGCGGTCCCCCTCCCTGTGCGCGCCTCGCGGCTGCTTGAGCTGGACGCCTTTTCTGGCTCGCGTCCGCCTCGCGGGTGGGCACGGTCGCTCTCGGGTGGCTGTGCGTGGGACGACGAGGGCAGCAGGCGGGCACTGGAGCGTGGGGCGGGCGGCGTCGAGCGACGAGGGACCGGCCGCCCGACGGCTGACGTCCGGGAAGAGCGGGGTCACGGCTGCGTGTCGCTCTCGGCGAGGGTGGGTGCTCGAGCGAGGGCGCAGCGGGTGGCGGGACTCTCGAGTTGCAGGACGGACGAGTGGCGCGGTGGGCTGTGCAGCGTTGTCGGACTCGGACGAGCGAGCGAGTTGCTGACCGACTCGCCCCCGCCTCGGTTGCTCGGTGTCTGCAGCCTCCAGCTCTCCTCCCACCACCGCAATCGAGTCACCAACAAGGACACCGCCGACCTCTCGACCTAGCCGACCCTCGTCCTCCACTCGGACGCGCCCTCTCGAACCCTCCCCGCCACTCGCGCCTGAGCACTCTCCGAGCCGGCTTACCCGACCTCTCGTCATCACCTCGACCACCACCACCATCCTCGCCCTTCACCCAGTCCCGACTACCTCCCTCGTCGCGCACCATGTCGTCCGACGCGTCCCCGCAACCCGACGCCCAACCAGAACCCGCCAGCTCGCCCTCCGAGGCGCCGGATAACACCCACCGTGCCGTCCTCGCCCCGCCGGCCGCTGCGCCCTCGATGACCCGCCAGGACTCGACCACCTCGTCCGTCGCCGTGTCCGTCTCGGCCCCGTCGTTGTCGACCGGCGCCAACACGCCCTCGACCGTGCCCAACACGCCCGCCCTCTCGTCCCACTACGCCAACCCGTCCATCCCGCCCACCCCGTCCGAGTTCTCGGGCGCTTTCTCGGGCCCGTTCGTGCGCAACCCGGCCCTCGCGCTCGACTCGCCCGCGCGCGAGCTCGGCAACCTCTCGCTCGCGCCGACGCCCTCGCCGCCCCTCTCGGAGCGCACCTCGGCCGGCGGTGCGGGTGCGCCCACCGACGCCTCGTCAGCCGGCGCCGGTGCGCCCGCGCCGCACGCCCCGTCGGGCCTCGTCACGGCCGCCGAGTCGGTCCTCGCGCGCACCTCGGCGGGCCAGCAGGCCCTCCGCGAGGGCGTCCTCCCCGGCGCCAAGGCGCTCGGCTCGCTCCCGCAGCCCGGCCCGCCCCCGCCCCCGCCCGCGACGACGCCCGCGACGCCCGGCGCCGGCAGCAGCACGGTCGCGACGCCGGGCGACACGCGCGCCGGCACGCCGGCGCCCGTCCCGAGGAGGGACGCCAGCGGCGCGAGCACGGCGAGCGCCACGTCGGGCTCGGCCGCTCCTCCTGCGCCCAAGCGCCCGTCGCTCGAGCCGCCGCCGCACCAGAAGAAGAGCGTGTTCGGCAAGCTCTTTGGCGACAAGAACTCGAGCTCGGTCTCGCTCGCCCACTCGGCCCACGGCGGCGGCGAGGCCATGGAGCGCTCGGCCGGCTCGAGCACCGACGGCGGCGCGCCCGGCTCGTCGTCGGGCGGCGGCGTCAACGGCGGCGGCGGCGGCGGGGCGCTCCTCGCGCGACGACCGAGCGGCGGGCCCGGCGCCGACAAGAAGCGCGAGGACAAGGAGCGCGAGAAGCGCGAGAAGGCCGAGCGCAAGGACCGCGAGAAGCGCGACAAGGAGGCGCGCAAGGAGGCCGAGCGCGAGAGCGCCCGGGCCCGGTCCGCCTCGCGGCAGCGCACGCCGAGCCAGCAGGGGCGCGCGCGCAGCGAGTCCAAGGGCGAGCACGACGCGCCGGCGGCGGCGCCGCACGGCCACGGCCACAAGGACAAGGAGGGCGGCGGCGTCATGGACTTTATGCGCATCAAGGTGCAGCGCAAGACGAGCGTCACAAGCCGGCGCAGCGACGACGGGCGGTCCGACGGCGAGGGCGCCAACAAGAGCCAGTACGGCGGGTCCGAGCGCAGCCGCGGCGGGCAGAGCAACGCGAGCCTCACCAAGAAGTACGGCGTGTGCGACAAGGTCATTGTCGGCAAGGGCGCCACGGCCGTCGTCCGCCTCGCGCACAAGTGGGACCGCAGCACCGAGAAGCTGTACGCCGTCAAGGTGCGCCCGCCCTCTCTCTCTCTCTCTCTCTCTCTCTCTCCTCCTTCTCCCCCTCGTGCGGTACTGACCCTCGTCCTCGATCCTGCAGGAGTTCCGCAAGCGCCGCAAGAACGAGACCGAGAAGGAGTACGTCAAGAAGCTCACGAGCGAGTTCTGCATCTCGTCGACCCTGCACCAGTGCGTCCTCCCTCTCCCTCTCTCTCTTCTCTCGCGTCCCCGAGCTCACTCTCCTCCCCTCGTGCCGCAGCCACAACGTCGTCGAGACGGTCGACCTGGTCCAGGACGAGCAGCAGCACTGGTGCGAGGTCATGGAGTACTGCCCGGGCGGCGACCTGTACGCCGTCATCAAGAAGGGCGACCTCGGGCCCGCCGAGATCAACAGTTACTTCAAGCAGATCCTGAGCGGCGTCGCGTACCTGCACTCGATGGGCGTCGCCCACCGCGACATCAAGCCCGAGAACCTGCTCCTCGACGCCAAAGGGCACGTCAAGATCACCGACTTTGGCGTGTCGGACGTGTTCCGCATGTGCTGGGAGCGCACGACGCACCTGAGCAAGGGCCTGTGCGGCTCGGAGCCGTACATCGCGCCCGAGCAGTTTGAGCAGAAGGGTCCGTCCCCTTCCCTTTCTCTCTCTTTTCTTTTCCTCTCCTCTCGCCTCGAACTGACTCGTCCTCGGGCCTCGCCAACAGAGTACGATGCTCGCCTCGTCGACGTGTGGGCCGTCGCCATCGTCTTCTACTGCTGCACGTTCGGCGAGCTCCCGTGGCGGGTCGCCAAGCGCGACGACATGTCGTTCGGCCCGTACCAGCAGATCTACCGCACGTCGTCGTCGACGCCGCCGCCGTTGAGCAACATCGTGCCGCGCGAGTGTCGCAGCGTCATCCGCCGCATGCTCAACCCGGACCCCAAGGGCCGCGCCACGATCGACGAGGTGCTCGCCGACGCGTGGGTGCAGGACATCCCTATCATCCCGCCCCTCGCCATCCCGCACTAGTCGTCGCCCCCTCCCTCTCCCCCTCTCTCTCGTCGTTCCCTGTGTGTGTGCCCTATCCCTGTCCTCGAGCGCCTGTCCCGCCTGTTCGCCCGCCCGCCGTAGCTTGTTGTATCGAGCGACTCGCAGTACATGCCCTCTCCTGTGCAGCGTCTCGACGTGCACCAACGAGAGCGACGAGTGACCGGCAAGGAGTGAGAGCGCGGCCGAGGAAGAGGAGCGTCGAGCCAGAGAGGGTCTGTGCGTCGAGAGCAACGCACGATCGGCTCACTCAAGGACGCTCTCAGCGTCGGCGTGCGGCATGCTTGAGCCTCTCTTGCTGAGAGAATGACCGAGCAGCCCTCGGCAAGAGAGGCCCGCAGAGTCGTCGCGAGAGAAGAGGCAGGAGCGGACTGTGCGTCGTCTCGACGTTCCGGCCCGCCAAGCGCCCGCAGCAGCTCTCCCGAGCATGCGAGATACTACAGAAACGTCCGGGACCTTGCGAGATGCAGACCGGCGCCGGGAGGAGGCTGCCTGAGGGCGAGATGAAAACAGTAGCATCGTGTGCGACTGGGACGTACAATCTGGCTCAGTCGACAATCGAAGCATTGGTGGTTTAGTGGCAAAATTGGGCATTGCCAGCTTCCGCTGAATTGCCTAGCCCCGGGTTCGATTCCCGGCCAATGCATTTTTGCTGACGACGTTCAGCGCCCTCAGACAGCAGGTACGAGGCCTGCTCGTCTTTTGCTGCACTCGCACAGCGACCGAGAAGAGCAGCTGAGAACGAGACGAGCGGTCGGCGGTCACCAGGAAGCATCTCTCGATCGTCTCTCCTTCTACGAGATGTCGCTTTCGCAACTCGATCGTGCTCTCGCGCGCACTCTCACATGCTCTAGACAACGTCGCGAGAGCAACTTGTCGCAGGCGAGCAGCGCTTGCGAGACGAGGGGAACGTGCACTTCGAGTCGGATTTAGCAGGGTTTCGAGAGCTGTCTACAGCACGCCCGCCTCCTTGAGCTTGGCGACGACCTCGTCGACAGACTCGACCTGCGACGCACGAGAATGTCAGAACGCCTGGCCGAGAACCGCAGAGGGAGAGGGAAAGGAGGAGGGACGCACCTTGGCGCCGCCCTTTCGAGGCGGAGGCGCCTTGACGTCGACCTGCTCGAGGCGAGGCGTAAAGTCGGCCTGCAGCTCCTCGGGCTTCATCTTCTTGAGCGGCTTCTTCTTGGCCTGCGATGCGCGCGAGGGTGGGTCAGCAGGACGCTCGGGCGAGAGGGGAAGGACGAGGAGGGAGGGCGAGGGCGCACCTTCATGATGTTGGGCAGGCTCGCGTAGCGGGGCTGGTTGAGGCGCAGGTCGGTCGTGATGATGGCCGGGAGCGACATCTTGAGCGTCTCGAGGCCGCCGTCAATCTCGCGCGAGACGGTGACCGTCTTTGCGGCCGTGTCGAGGTCGACCTCGCTCGCAAAGTTGGCCTGGGGCCAGCCGAGCATGCCGGCGAGCATGCCGCCGACCTGGCTCGAGTCGTCGTCGATGGCCTGCTTGCCCATGATGACGAGGTCGGGCGACTCCTGGCCGACGAGGGCCTTGAGGGCGCGCGCGACGGCGAGCGGCTCGACGACGTCGTCCTCCTTGGTCTCGACGTGGATGGCGTCGTCGGCACCCATGGCGAGGGCGGTGCGCAGGACCTCGGACGCCTTGGCCGGGCCGATCGAGACGACCGTGATCTTCTCGATGGCCTCCTTGGCCTTCTCGCGCAACCGGACGGCCTCCTCGACAGCTGCGGGTAGATCCGAGTCAGCTCGTGCGTGTGCGAGAGGGACTCGGCGCGGACGCACCGATCTCGTCGAACGGGTTCTGTCAGGCGCAAGTTCGGGGTCCGGGTCAGGTCGTGGTCCGAGAGAGAGAGACGGGGCGGGGGGGGGGGGGGGGGGACTAACGCTCGGCGCATATGGCGGCGAGGAGATGGCAGTTGCTGGGAGTGAAGGGATGGCTGGCACTCCATCACCAACGACAGATGGCGCCAAGTCACCCGCACCCACTGAGCTCGTCGACAGGGACCGCTATCACGAGGTCATCATCGCACCGGCGACTGACACCCTCTGAGGGACCTCGTTCCGACCCCGGTTCAGTCAAAGGCGACGGTCTGGAAGAACCTACCTCGCCGCTGCCGGAGCCGGGCGTGTACCCCAAGAACCACCAGATGTCCTGCTGCTCGATCGGCCACACGTTGTAGTGCTACAACAACATCCACCGTCTGCCCGA